TGCAAAGAAATCCTACGGTGTTGCAGCATACGAGCTGCCAAAGAATACACAGGATTGTTGCTCGATTCCTGCATAATGCCTCTCCGAGCAACTCCGCTTCAGGCGTGTTGTGAGCAGGGCCTCAGATCTTGGAGTTTTCCGCGGGGATCGGGAACGCAATCTCGCCAGAGTCTCCTGACGTGCCAGCTCCCTCGAGGTAGCGTTTTTTAAACTAAAAGAATAGCTCCATCTTTTTCCAGCACAACCAGCAGCAACAGACAGAGACTCGTTATTCAGGTTTCCGCGCGCCTTCGCGATGCTCCGTGAAGACTGCACAGGGCAGACACAAGCATGCAAGCAAGTTGACATGTGGAGGTCACAGCATCCGCTTTGCAGTATTTTTCCTATACGTTGTGCTGAACACTGTCTCCCGACCTGGGCTTGCTTACGCTCAGAATCATGTGCTCATGCTTCTGCCTTCTTCCTGGCAGTCTTTTCAGCAGCACAGCTGACGCGGGGCCTGCCGTCACACCAGATTGTCGTGCGAGACATTCAGAACAGTGAGAGTTTGGAAAGCTGATGATATCTTGTTCGCGCAATGCCTCCTCGCGCGCTGAGCTACGGCAGCAACAGCGAAAGCAGCAGCCACAACAACACCTGAGCATTGATCCGAGACCGTCTATGGACAGAGCTTCTACCTTGCTTCTTCAGCGCTGCTCTCGGTATATTCTTGGAGGTTTCAGCCTGAACGCACACATCGACACAGACGTCTACATATCCAAGTGCATCTACTGCAAAACTACCTCTGAATATGTTGTATATATGAATGTATAGGCATGTATGTAAAAAAAACCTAGGCCAGCGTCTTGATTTTGTCCAGCCCTCGCAGTGCGGTTCACTGGACCGGGTCAGTCTCCACAGGCAAGTTAACAACAAGAGCTGAATCGTCTTGTCTGCAGCCCCAGGTGTTGTCGGCGGCGCAGGAAATAGACGGGCGCATCCCAACTTCGGAAAGTCGTCCAGCTAATGTACATCTGCCTGCTAGGCGCGTAAGACCAAGGTGACACCGCGCGAAAACCCTAGTGAAGAACAGAAGCCAAGCGCATTCTGACTTCCATGATCTGCTGGCTGCATCTCAACTGCCACAATGAGACCCTGTACTTGGGCCGTGTTCTTCTACACGGATGATCAAGCAGATGCATCCAGGCAGCTTACGCTGCCACAGAGATCATGGCCTCGTCTATTGAAACGTCACATCAGTCATGAGGTCATACAATATCGAGTACCAAGGTGTCTCTGTGGCATGGTATGTCAAAAGGGTTGCCTGCTGTTGCCTGGCTTTTGCCAAGGCAGCTGTCATGAACCAGCGAGGCGCTGTCGACAAAACCCTCTGGAGGGCATTGAGGAGGCAACACGAAAGGCATTTGCATCCAGCACGTCAATGACCTTCACAAACACAGAGACAGCATGCAACAGGTGATGCCTCAAATGTCTTGACCAGCTTGGCTGGGCATTCATCCGCTGCCAGCACGAGCCAAACTCAAAACCACTTGTGGGAATTGCCGTGACTAAGCAATTGAATACCTCAATTCCACAACGTCTGAAGCCTTCTGGTGCGACTCACACAACCTGACACTTGCAAAGTCACGGCATATGGAAATAGGGAGCTGTCAGGTCAGGTGGCTTACCTTAGCTGCGACGTTGGACAACATGGATTGAATTTGCCAGCTTTGCCCTTCCCAGCACTCAAGCTTACCTCAGAACAGCATGTTCGGTCCTAAAGTCAGACCAGCTTCTCTCAGGAACGGCAAACATGTTCGGTATTGGTGGGATCGGGCTCCCAGGTATCCGCAAGACGTGCCTGCACGAATCACGCGATGAAGTTGTCACAGCCCTCTGACATGAAATTTCGCAAAAAGCAAGCTGAAAGTTCAGTTGCATGGACCGTTGGAGGATCCACTTTGTGATTAGAGTGATATTTCCTGAATGTAGCTGGCGATCAGGCCTTGATGGCATCGTCGGCCTCCTGGAAAACAATGCACCACGGACAGCGTGGAATGACACTTCAAGGTCACATGCTGATGCTTTTCGAGATGGTCATGATCATGAACTAAACCATTGCTGGTATGTCATCGAAGCATTGTTCGTTACAGAGCCTAATGTCTTGAAGAAGGTGCACTGCTGCATATTAGCATGATGGGATGATTCAGGCCCCTTGCCTCGGAGATTGAGGACTGGCCCAGCAGCATGAAACGCGTTCTTGCTACCTCAAGGCTGCACATGGCAGAGGGCTTTTCGGTAACGTCTGACCAATGTGCCATGTCGTTCCTAAGGCCATCTCAAGCTCGTATCCAAAATCCCGGATGAACCGCGGAATGACCTTTCAAGCGGCTCTGTGCGGCGGAAATACGTCTTTTGCAGCAGCGCCAAATCATGCAGGCCTTCAAGCCCCAAAGCCCGCTGATTAGACCATCAAGCTCACCCAACACCTGGCAAAACATGGCAAAACATGGCAAAACATGGCAAGACGCAGCAGGGCAAGGGCAGCAAGGGACAACACCCAAACCTCCAGTGCGGCATCGCTGTGGGTGAATGCGTCCGAACCGCGGAGGAGGACCACCGAGTCCAGGTCTGGAACAGAACGGCTCTCACGGTTCACTGATGTCACGTCTTCCGGAGCATGCCCAGCCTTTGGGCAGCTCTTGCCACGCTAAGATCTCCTTGCTTATCAGGTCACTTGGGAGATTTTGGCACATCTCCATCGCGCCTGGCCAAGCTTTGATTGCAGCGGCGCGAAGCGGAAACGATCTCCAGAGTCCCTGCCTTCAGAACAAGGCACTGGCTGTCTCTGGCAGAGCCAATGCAGCTGAAATTAAGGATCAGGCTCACGACAATTGCCACAAAGCCGAGGCAAAGCCTGCTCCAAGCATTTGCTTGAAACTGCTTTGCAAACACTACCTGAGAGCATGCAGAAAAAGCTTCTGTTCGAGAATTAGTGCAAGATTGTAGCCAGTACTTCAAGAGAAGGAATCAGTCTCTACAACTTGACTGAAATCCTGGCCTGCACTGGCCATCGAAGAGGATCAGGCGTCTCCTGTGTTTTTTGTGCAAGAAAAGCTTAGAAGGAAGGCGCCCGCAACATGCGAATGCAGTGCATCACGGTGTCGCCAACAACAACCACATACTTGCACAAACACCCTCTTCCAGCAGTTTCTTCATGAAGGATCTTCTGCGGCACAACGACTTTTCCCTCCACTCAGACTGACGTGCATCAATGCCCATACTAAGCAAAGCTCGTCTCGCCCTGGGACTCGCCAAGGATGCTGGCGATCCGAGCACTTGGATCGGCCTGTCAAAAAGGCCGCATGAAGGCGCATGAAGTTCGCTCCAGCGCCCAACCGGACACTGCTCTGCTTTTGCTAGCGGAACCTAGAGAATTTGCAGACTGATCCACCTGGCTAAGTAATTGCAAGGCCATGTGCAGGGGTGCATGCACCTGCCCTGCACCTGATCGAGCTTCCAAATCTGGAAGGCTCGCATGTCGCATTCTTAAGTACCGACGTGACACTAGCAAAAAACAAAACACCGGAATTCGTCGCAGCCTCCATGCCTACTCTCTCCCCAAACTGACAAAGAAGCTGAGTTGCAACCTCCCCCGCCCAGAGTGCGCCGGCGGTATTTTCAAAGAATATGAATAAGAATAATATGAAAAAACTCCCCCGCCTCCACCGACCTACTGCAGGGGCAGCATCCCCAAAAGTCTCTCGCCGACTAGGACTCAGATAACACGGCTCTCAAGACTGTTGCCAGGAATCGTCCAATACAAAAGTGTCTGGGCTAGCCTTCGTGAACCCCTGATCCTGAACCCACGTTCCCAGCTGCCTTGTCCTGCTTGTTCTCAGTCTCAACAAGCTGCTCAGTGAGCTGCTCAGGCGTGCTTTCTTCAGACCTGTCCAGTCATCAGGGCAATGCAGCTACCCGGCCACTCCAGCCGAGGGTCCGGCGCCATCCGGCAGCAGCTCACTCTCAGCTTTCTCTGCAGCTGTTTCTTCGTGGCTTCGTGAGGTCTATGTGAGCAAGTTGTTGGCATGCCGTGTGGATGCAGGTTGGGCTTCGTATTTGGTTGCAACGCTATGAATGACGTGAGCACATGCTGCTCTGGTCCGACAACGGCTACGTGCAAGGGGCCAGCCAGGCTACCTTCTGCAGCAATTCAAGCTGAGGTTCGTACGGATTCCACTCATACATGAGTAAGGCAGCCACTGCTATGTCCCTCTGCTAGGCGGGATGCGTTGCGCGGGGCCTCGAAACGTGAGGCATCTCGACCGTTCTTGACACTTGACACTTGATACTTGACACCGATGTATGGGCGATGCCCACAACGCAGACGGGGCATTCTCAGTAGCATCCAGGGCTTAGTGCTAAGTGGGCTCATGGACAGACAGGGCTTTAGAGTCATGATTGGCATCATCCGGTCCTCCTGTCCAATCCCGCGCACCAAGTTGGTGTGGACAACCTCTGATGCGTAATTTCCACTTGCTAAGTCGTGCTAAAGGCTCCTGAATTGATGCAATGGCATGACGTGCTGACTCAAGGCCTGAGGGCTGCCGGCGACAAACGCAAGAGCCATCTTAGAGGTCTTGCTTGCGCGAACAGCGCGGTGTTTGTTTGCTTCTGCTATGCAGAAGAAGCATCATAAAGCTTTGAATGGTAGACATTAGAGCTGGGATGGTGTCACTTGCATGCCGCATATGCAATGACCCTACTACGCCAGCTGACATGTCGAGCCAGCATCACCGATAGTAGCTTGCGATAAGGATGGAGTGATCCGCCCCATCTGCCAAAATCTTCCTGCTACTGTTGGCAAACGTTTTTTGCTACGGCAATTGCTGAACTCCTCGCTGGACAAACTCCAGTCCTCTGCCTACCAAGCATAGGCAGGTTGTTGCACAAAAACGGACGGTCAACTTTTGCAGGTCATGTGCTTCACCTGCAGTGTAGCACGTGCATCCTGACTTGAATTACATCAAAATTGTCTGGTCTCTCAGGCCAGGCTCGAACTTGAAAGTGTTGACGAGGACACCTCTCTGTGTTTGCAACGGGTTTCCAACCAGGATACAGCGCACCCCAGCAGTAAATGTAGTAAGCCAAACAAACTCTTGGGAAAGGGAGTCAGCTTGCAGGCTGCGCCTCCAGCGTGCAGGAAGTGAAAGGCAGGGTCATCTAAGCGCGAGATCAGCCTTCCTCGATGACAGGGGTGAAGATCTGACTGCCGTTAAAATGTCTTCAAGCAAGGTCCTTCGAGTAGAAATTACTTTAAGCAACCGTATGGGCCAAACGTTGCAGCCAACATTTTGTGTGATTGGCTCTGTCCTGCTATCGTGAAATTTCGGAAGGTGACATTGGCGATTGTTGCTTTGCCCTTCGTGGCCGTTGCAAAGGCAAAGCGGGTGACATTTCCGGCGATGGTCAGGCCATCAAAGAGGACATTGCCCAAGACACCGTTCTCTAAGCGAAGGCTCAGCGGATGTGACACATCTCCATCAATCTGCAAGTCTTGCCAAACGAAGGGGCCCACCAATGCTGCTGGGTCAGCTGACTTGGAATCCACAAGACTCACGACGGCATTGTTAGGCCTTGTGTCATATTTCTCCCAGTCATCAGGTGCCCGCCATTCATTCTCAATGACACTTGCAGCGCGATGAGTGATGTTGACCAAATGCAGTCCTGCCCAGCCAAGTTGAAAGGTGCCACCATTGTATGACTGCCACAGCACCATGTTGTCGGTCGCAATGTCTCCGTCTCTGACCTTGATGAGGTCATCAGTGCTTCGGATAAAGGAATTACTGGCAGAAGTGTTGGCTTCGAAGTGGCCGCCGCCATTGTTGGCCGCCCAGCCCAAGCCACGAAACATCCTCATCTTGCTGCCACTGACAATCACATCATAGAGCCGAAAATTCGGATTTACCACCTCGCATCCAGGAAGTCTCTCACTGACTGCGGGTTTTCTATAGCCACGGAGCCCCCAGCTAGAATTAAGAGACTGCTTTCGTGGTAGTCTGCACCCAAATTTCCCACCCAAAGGCACAAAGACCACGAAAGAACTAAAGCAGGTAGCAATACCGTCCAGCCCTCCGTACACTAACATATGCGTCAGGCAGCAGAGTAACCTGGCATGATATAATACACTATGATCACCTACTTGCTCGATACGGAATGCAGAACGTGAAGTATCGTACAGCATGCAGAAAATGGCACGGCACAGGCGATGAAGTCTAATACTACACACGACAGTAGGGGAGTAACGGGAACCAATTTGGGAGTAACGGGAACCATGTCTCCAAGCCTGTAGCAGTAGCAGTCTGCGAAAGTAACGCCAACCGGGCCGATGGCGTAACTACTGCAGGAGAGAGCCGAAACCGAAAGCAGGACAAAAGATACTGCACTGGAATCTTGCAAAATTCGCAAAGTAGGGGGACCCAAAATCGGTCCCCCTTAACCACGAGCAGGACTCAGCCAGGAATCGAACATGATCGAACATGAGTGTGTCGAAGGGCACACTGCTTTGAATTCTGCGAGGGGCACGGTGTCCCTCCAGAATAAGCTACCATTAAGGCCAGCAATGGAAGGAATCCGCAGGTCCCGAAATGCAATTCTGTAACAGCTATGACCAGATGCGTCTAACTGGGGGACCGGAATTCGGTCACTCTTTTAAAAGATTTCAGCGGAAGCGTTCGAAGCCGTCTGGAAGAATGCTTGGAGGTCCAGTCCGCTTGATTCCCACCGACAATTCCCGATACAGCCGGGCCGGCTGGTATGTCACAGGAACGGCCGGGTCTGGTTACAAGATGTTACAAGTACGGGCTGGGTTCCCGTTGCAAATCACTGTTACGGACAGCTGGCTCCTGTTACTTCCAACCCTCGCATAGTGTGTAGTGTAGTTTGTGCAAGGCGTACCATGGAAATGTGACCAAAAATACGCAAGTCAATTTAAGATTTACATTGTACGCAGCATCACTATTTCAGAAAAGTGGAGGGAAGTTTTGGCTTTGAGGGCAATCGGTCTGAGGGTTCCCTCCCAAAGGCTTGTCCGAAATCTTGCCCGGGTGCAACACCAAGGCTGCATTCATCAACGAAGCTAGCGTCTGGTGCACTGTGCTGTCAATATGCAGGCTCAAGACTCGCATCCCTCCAAATTTCTCACTTCAACTCCACGACCGCCCGTATCTGTGCCAAACCCTGAACTCGTATGCAATGCAATAGCTGCAACTCAGCCAGCTTGCAGCCAAGGAACTGTCAAACCCCAGACGTCACCGCCCGCTGAGCCGCCAAATGACAACATCATCCGCGTTTCGTTCCACAGATCTCCTGGCCACCATGCAGCTGCACAGTTTCTTCCATGTAGTCTTGCATAGATTGCCCCGAGAGGTATCAACACTACCCTGGCACCAAAGAATCAAAGAACTCCAAAGCCTATTCATCATCCCAGCACCACCACAATAATGATCAGCTGCGGGCACAGCGCGAATAGCCGCGAGCAAAAGTTTTCATCTCATGTCCTTTGCGCTCGTGGTACCTGAAGTAGCGGCCATCCAAGATTCCAGGTCCATACACGTTGGTTGGCCGCTGTTTGCACTGCACCGATAACCTCACAACTTGATTTCGAGGCTTTGCAGTCAAGGGTTTAGGTTTCAATTCAGGTCTAGAGATATCAGGATACCCCAACCTGCGCTTTTAGCTTAGGATTTGAAAAGGCTGAAAGGAGACAATGAGCTTGCCGTAGACATAGGCGCCTCGTTGGAGAAAAACCGACGGCACCTGCCAGACCAACATCAATCGCTCAGATGCTGGCAAGGAACGATCACAACTTCAATAGGGGGAGGGCAGGGGGGTCTGATTCAGATATCAGATTTGGAGTTCACCTTGTTGCGCAACCCCCCGCAGAAGAGTTTGGGGTGCGGATATCCTGCCTCGCAGGAGATGTTCAGGACACCTCCATTGCCGACGTAGTGTTCTCCAGGCGGAATCACCAATGCATCATGACTCACCTGACATGTGAGTTCGTGAGCTTCCATTGCGGTGCACACTTGCTGCTTCAAGCACTCCGTCGAAGCTTGTGAATCGCCCTGCACGCGCAGCTAGGATGCCAAGCCTACAAAGCTGAAACCGCGCTGCGCACATCCCAGACTATACTTGTATGCAACCATGCCAGCGTTTTTGGAGGCAAACCATGTGGCGTCTTCTAATTCTTCTATTCCCGGCGATCCAACCTTAAGAAGACCTCGCAGCCCTTGATAAAGGCTGCTAGGGTCTTTGCAAAGCGTGCAAGCAGGTCGAGATCCACTATGACGAGGTACCGCTGGCGTTGGCTCACTGACAAAAAGCAGCATCGCGTCGTGGGTGCTGGAGTCCATGCTGTACTTGTTCGAGTTTGCACTGGCATAGACAGATCCGTAATGCACAGAGAGGTGCTTGCCGCAGCCATGCACTTCAAATGAGACTGTGTGAGCATCTGGAGAAACACGGAGCTGTATGCCATATCGCCTTACATCATGAAAACGTCTGCGGGGCAAAGCTAATCCCTTCAGCCTTCAGCTGCTAAAAGCAAGTCGCTTAGGCCGAATATGAACATTGCTTGGAAAGGGCGCCTTCTTCCTGGTGACTTCCACAGTCGAGACACCTCAGCTGTAACACTACCTTCTACGCTCTGCACGAATTCCACTTCAGCTCATCATTCACAAGCCTGCCGAATGCTGTCGATCCGGAGCTCTATCATGATTTGGCTTCGAGTCAGCCAGGGTGCTTTTCTCGCATGGCTGCGCAAATTCCACCCACGACGTTGATCGATCTGCAGGCTCGGGTCCGTCTTGCCGGTCGCTAGGCACGTTGATGCCATAGACGTGCGGCTGCACCTCTGCAAGGTAACCCCAAATTGTGAATACAGGCAAGTCTACGTAGGGCCTGACGGGGCCTGAGGCACCCAATTGGCACATAGAAGTCAAATGCTGCAAACTGCCCTGTGCAATGGCCAGCTCACAGGGAGCTAGGATGAAAGCAGCCGGAAGAATGTGAAAAGGCACTGGGTTGAGACCCCAAAAACTGGCACGAAGGCAGGAGAACTTTCTGACTCCTTCCCCTTGATGCCAATCAAGACGCTGATTGTCCCTTGTGATGAATCGTCACAGAAAACTCAGATGACCAGGGTCCTTCATTGCCAGCATAATACTCGAAGCCTTTCTCACCAAGCGCGTGCAGCACTGCAGTGCACAGCGCTAGACAATGAAAGCGCTGACGAATGGGCGCCATTGCGGCAAGACCTGTCTGAGATGAAGCCAGCTGCGCCATGAGCAACTAGACGCGCCCGGTGCAACATGGTCGTAACATGAGGCATCTTCACCACGTCATTGTCACTTTATCGTATCATGCAGTGTACTGAAGCCCACTACTCACAGACACCAAAATTGCATCGTTTTGTTTCTGCAAGGCTCCTTTGGCACGAGTCTCAGACACTCAGAGGCTCCAGAATTCTGTCTGGGCAGCTCGCAGCTGCGCGTCAAGCTGGGCCAGTGAGGAGAAAGCCTCAACGTAAACGTAGAAGATCTTTCAAAGTAAATGCTCTATCACACGCATGCTGTGGAGCAGCCTGCTGCGGCTTCGCAGGTGCCGACACCTGCCTGGAGCCTGCCAGGGCAATACAAGAGCATCCACACCAGCGGTCCCGTGTCTTTTCCATCCCTTTTCTGAAACAATGATTGCGGCTTGGCCAACATGACTGCTCGAAAGGCCTCCCACGATTGGCTGCGGCGTCGATCGCACGACTACCTGCAAACTGCATCTTCGAGAATTCTGAATATGGGCAATTCAGCACAGGCCGAATCCTCTCTGAACAGTGTCGGAATTCTCAGCAGATCTCAGCAGTGGCAACCTGATTCTAACAGACTGTGCCTGCGAAGGCGAATGCGGTGAAGACCCTCGCGCTCGCCATGTCCTCAGCGCAGCAGAAGTGTCACGAGCTCTAGAACAACGCGCTCGAGGCCAGAATTTGCCAAGCATCTCTGGCGAGTGACGGCGCTCCAGTTGATCCGTATGTTGCTGGCGTTGCAGTCTGTGCGCTCCTTGCAAGATGTTTGAGCACCCGGCATTGAGGTGCATCTGTCAAAGTTTGGGATTACCGTGGATGCTTTGACTTGCCACCAAACGTGTCTACAAACCTCTTGACATCCCAAGCAGCAAACCCTCAGCGAGTCGAAGAACAAACCCCAACCTCATGCTTTGCGTTCTTTGTGGCTTCGTGCCTGGAGCATCTGGGCTGGGGCTGCGTGGGCCAAGCAGCGCTCGCGCGGCCTGCAAGAGGAGGAATCAGAAGAGATGGCCAAGGTTGTTCAAAGCTCCACCAGCCAGTGTGCTTACCAGCCTCCGCTGCTGGGCTCCTGGTTGCAGCGGCGTGGAAGCCTGGCTTTGGCCCAAGCTAAAGACTCGTCGAAAAAGTGGACTCCCTTGGTGCCTGCGTTGGCCAAGGCATCCCAAGCACTTTGCAACGCCTGCGACGGGCGCCAGGAAATTGCCTCATGCCCTTCTGTCTGACGTTTCGAATCCACTGCGCAACCTGCAGCCGCCGCTCGGCTGCCCTCACCCTGCCCACACAAACGCGCTGTCGGACATGTGTCAGGTCCAAGGTTCTGAAATCCCATACTCCACCTTGGAGAGTCTCTAGCATGGAGCAAAGTTTTACAACAACAATCCGGCCTTTCCGCTTGCTGGAGGACCTCATCGGGTCAGGCAGCTGTCGAACGTAATATGCAGCAACAAATTATCACGTCCAGGCATGGACCATGGAAGGCGCTAGAGTCTGGGTCGCGCAAACACAGACATCCTTCTGGCTGAGTGCGGCGACGCTGGCACGACGCCTCTCTTCCGCGCCCTTCCGGCGCTCGCGTGTTAGGTGTTGAAGTTCCTGAACCTTTAGACAGGCCGCATGGAGGGACACTGGAGCCATTCTGTATCATTCTGTACTGTGCAGCCTCCTCGCTCTTCTTGGCTAACAACTCCTAGCGCAATGAGTTCAATGAAAGGCCTCCACTTGACTTGAACCAAAACCTTGGTCACGCCTCGAGGCGAGCCACCTCCGCGAGCACCGAGGGGTCCTGGGTGGCTGTCACCAAGACTTGCAAGCAGTAAGGACGAAAGCTTGCCCTCTGTCAACAAAGACTCGCAGCAAGTCCGACCCTCCTTTGCACGAAGGTGGATTACACCGAACAAAGTAGAGGGAATTGGCAAACCATTATCCCACGACGGGAGTACATAGGATCTGACGCCAACCCAAACAAGCTGGCCACTGGGCACAAAAACACCCCTCAAAACAAGAAAAAGGAAAAAGAACAGGAGTTCCATCTGCGGGGGAGATGGGCCCAAAATACAACCTTTTGTACGCTCTTGCCATCTTTACCCCAGGGAACACCAGACAAGTAGCAGAGCCATGGGAACCAGCAGTCAGGGAACTTGAGGTAATTGTATGGTGCGCTGTTCGTTTGGCCTGCCCCTTCTGTTCGTATTCCCAGATCGTGTAGTAAGGGGTGGTGAACCCGACTGCCGCGGTGCCAAGTGCGTACACTGCAGATAAACAAGGATGACATCGTCCCAATGTGGCAATTTAGGCTAGTGCAAAGTAACGTTGTGTACCAGGGCTGCAAAACACATGGAGAAGAAGCTTCTCGGGGGAATCTGTAGTGTACACTTCGAAGGCCTGCCAGTAGCGCAGACATGTGAAGAACAGAGAAACCCAAAACCGTCCCGAAAATGCCGCCCCAAAAATGTTGCGCAACGGGGTACTGTGTAATTATGGGTAGCGGACGTTGGGAAGTGAAAGGTTGCAGGGACATAGAGAATGTGGGAAGTCTCGCCAATCGCTCGAGACGGGAGAAGGGAAGGTCCTAAGCCCCAAAAAAGTCATTGCAAGTGTACCATCCGTATCTACACGTTGAATTTTCGAGTTGATTCGTCGTAATCTTGACATGCGCGCCCACACTCTCTCTCTCTCTCTCTTCTTCTTCTACTGGCCTTACCCACCCCCTAAGAGGCAGGTTGGGGCTACGCCCGTGGCCGGGCAATGTCCACGGATCCGGTCTGCAGGTGAGGGCCGGGATGCTGCAAATACAGGACTTCCAAGACCTCCCCGAACACAGATACATACTACCCCACAGCTTGGACGTCCCGTATCGGCTTCTCCCCTACTCGAACTAGTTGTGAGACTGGATGCCAACAGCTACAACTCGATCCAACACATCCCCAGTCAAAGCACACCCACGCGAAACACAATGTCAAACTCCCGTGTGTCGCTTGCTGCTCAAGCACGCCTCCGGTCTCCCCACCACACCGCTCTGCTGGCAGTATTGCGAAGTCTTCTTCTTCTTCTCACTGCAGTATTGCGAAGTCTCTCTCTCTCTCTCTCTCTTTCTCGCTCTCTCTCTCTCTCTCTGTGTTTCTTCTTCTACAGGCTCTACTCTACAGGCTCTACTGCTCTTTCTTTCTTTCGTGCGGGTTATGGAGCAACCTTGTCGCCGCTCCACTGCCCAGCCCGTGTTGGGCTGTGTGATCGTCCTCACCCCTTGTTGGTCCACACATAGCTATTCATCTATTACCCCTACATTACTTATCACTACCAGCTAGGTTGACTTGCTATTGTGGAGCCGTTGGCGTGGCCGGTATCGCCATGTCCTGTGGGGACACTGCCAACAGTTGACCTAAAAACACCGCAGAGTTAACATGGAGGGAAGAGTTCATAAATGTTGGTTCAAGTGATCCTGTTGGAAGGTGAAACCCTAGCTTGAGGGAAGCTTACCTATTTGTGACGGCTGCAAATGTACTTGACCGGTTGTGTGTGCATGTTTACCGGGTTCCCTCTGAGTTGCTTGTAAAACTTCAGTTTGCTACCTAGCACGCTGTCCCTTGGGGTATCTGCGGTAAACACTCCTCCTTCTTCTTCTACTGGCCTTACCTACCCTCGAAAGAGTAGGTCGGGGCTACGCCCCGTGGCTGCGCGCGGTCCGTTGCTCCAGGTGAGATCTAGCGGCTAGCGGACTTTCCCATTAGGTCCCTAGGAAGCTTTGTTACCAGGTTCGGCGGGGTGCATGGTGAATTCCCTTCCTTCTTCTCACTCGAAGTCTTCTGACGTGTTCGGTTTGTACTTTTGGTAACAGCGGGTTTGGTATGGTCTCGCGATTGTTCCACTCAAAAGCTTGCAATTTGCTGGCTCTCATGCTAACTCTCATGCATTGAGCTCCTTTATCTCACATCCAGCTAATTGTTCAGTCTCCCATTCCGCAGTTGTATTTCTCCAAGATTCGTCTCATTTCTGGCAACCAGGTTTGTAAGAATGGGCTGTCTTGATCGCTCCTCCGCTGCCACAAGCAAAGCATACATGTCCTCATCTCCCTTTGTCACTGCCTCCTCCCTCACACGTTCCACTTTGTCTTGCCTTGCCGCCACTGATGAAGTTGATGAAGAGCGCAGGTCTTCTCTACCATTGTCAGTGATGCTCGTCGCCGGGTTAAAGTAAAACTTCGTGCGTCTTTTCCGGTTCCCACTGAAAGTGGTGTACGTCGCTGAGCCATGGCTTTTTCTCGCAACTTCTCCGACAAACCCTCTCAAGACCCAGATTTCACTTACACAACCTTCGAGGATTCATCCAGTCCACCCCTCCACGGTACTCCCCTGGAGACAAAGGCACTCGCTAATTAAACTTCAAAAGTTTTCCTTAGTTTCCAATCCAATACAACCGGGTTCTCAATTTTCCCACGGCAGGGGCTTATCCTTCCAATATCACCAGTGATAGCGTGATGGCGTGATCGCAACACATCAGGTAAACACTCCTCTCTCTCTCTCTCTTGTTTCTGGGCAGCCCGCTGCATCGCCCATCGAGCCGAGCTCTGATTGAAGGCCTTCGAGGAACCAGACGTCAGCGGACGGCAACTTGACATTAGAGCATGCTAACATGATTAGGTCATCAGCAAACTTTGAAGAATTGCGGTGGGGTGCATGGGCCTTCCACCATTGACTCCACGCGGTTTTGCAACGTATGGCTCATTGACCGCAAATCCTCGGATGGTCTGAAAGTCCATGTCGTCTGCCCAAATAGGAAATGTTTGCAAAGGAAGTGCAGAGTCCGACACAGCTTCCTATTGCTTCACCAGATAAATTGGAGCATGAAGATTAAACAAATTCCAGTCGGTCCGAGATTCTTTCTGATCTCGCAAGGCCATGCAGAACAAGCGAGCCTCGGTGCAAATGCACAGGAGCCCAAGGCTGGGGCCTATTGCACGCGAGCCTGCTGTAAAATGCACTTCTAGACTTCTAACTAGCTGTGAAGCTTCGCAAGACTGCGTTCACGCATGTTCTTCCGAGGAACAGTTGAGCCCCCAAGGCTCTGGATGGATCGCCGTAGTGCGTCGTTGCCCTCTCTTGGTAAAGAACCAGGGGGCAGACTGCTTAGAATGAGTAGGCACAACTGCATCATGCTTTGCTGTGCCAGTACAACCCAATGAGAGTACTTGTACTACCTCGTCAGACTTGATATACTGGCTTCAGGGAAGAGAGTCAGAGATTCACACTGCAGCAGGATCCATCCTCCTCAGCGTTCTCATCAAATGACTCAGCTTCACCATAGACACCTTGGAATTGGGTCAAAGTCACTCTGCCTGCCATGCTTCCAAGCCTTGCAAGCTCAATGACACATACAAAGTTGGTCATGTTTGTAGAAGCTGGTAAAGCTGCCTGCCTGCATCCAGCGCACTTGCATGGACCAGCAGGCAGCTCAGCTGGTGATGCACCTGTCTCATGGCACTTTGTGGCCACCCGTTGATAAAAAAACAGTTGCGTTTCTGAGCTGACTGTGTCAAGCAAAATGTAAGCAGAGCCGTCGACCAGCACGCAGGTTCGCATCTGTTCCAGCAAGCGGCTGGTGCGGTCGCCTCACGTCGCGCAGCTCATGGTGGCAGAGCTAGTGCTGATAGTTTCCACAACCGTTTCATGCCGGGTTGAATGACAAATGTCGCACCTGCTGGCGAGTGCGGTGTGGTTGCACCTGCATCCATGTCCTGCAGGTGAGTACGCTCTTTTACGGAGCCCTTTTGCCAGACCTTTCCACCACGACAGAGGCAATTTCTGAAATGCTCAATTATAATCAATGCACCTTCTTCAGACCATTAGATACCGATCTTGCAATTCCGCAATGTTCTTAAACTTCAGGATTGCGCCGACATGCTGGCAACAATGCACTTGTGGACAATTATTGGAAGGAAATGCTCATGTATGTCAAGTAGGCTTGGCTCCCTGGCTTCCTTCCACAGCCAGGTGATATGACAGGACGTGGGACCTGCATCCAACCCGAAATTTGGGCGCCTCCATCATGTTCAGACCAACTTCCATGGCAGCTCCAATCCAAATGCAAATCTCCTTCTTGGCGCATTGAAGAAGCGTACAGTATGGTACAGTCTCCTCACTGATGTGTCCTCCAGCTTTCCCTCCCTTTCTCCACTGGTCCACTGCTTGAGCCGACGCAGATTGATCTGGCACAGCAACAGCTGCCACTCTTGCTTTCCTTGCTAGACTGCGTAAACGAAGTATGATCCTCACGGACTCTGCCGCCGCGTCTTGCAGTAAGCCAACAAGTACACATGTCTTCAAGGAGTTCAATTGATGGCTTCATCTCACCCACGCATAACCCTCAAAGTAAACAAAGGCTATGAGCACGACCTGCAATTCTGAGCTGATCATTTTTTAAGAAGGCGAATGACCTTTGCATTTGCACTTCACGAGCGGAACTGCTGCGACACAGTTCTGCTTGGACGCCTCTGTCAGTAAGCTGCTTTATCAGAGAGGCCGCGTCGCCTGCCAAACCTCGGGACAAGTGTGACATCTGAATCCGTACACTCTTCTTTGCAAGTGAAAAAGTCGCACCGGTACATCTTGCCCAGCGGCGGGCGAGAACGTGATGTTGGCAACTGGCCGAAGCTTCGCCCGAATGCTGTGGATTTCTTTGCGCTTTCCCACCGCTCTAGATTCTCCAAGCCTTGTGTTTTACATGTTGGGCTGGAGAGCTGCAACGCAGCAACCTTTCAAAGGTTGCAACTTGGCGCTGCACGCAAATCCTAGGGTCGGGGATGCCTGCACAATCTGCACATCTCTGACGCACAGAGCATCCTACATAGCCAACTGTACACTATCACATGGCAAGCAGTAAGCCCGCCATCTTTTGACAGCTTCTGGACTGGCACTCACTTGCGCATCGCAATCGGTTCTCGCGAACCCATCAGTCCTGATTCGTTTGCCTGCCCACGTGGAAGCTGTGCTGCTTGCTGGACCAACTCAATCGGTTGTCGTCCACGGAGTACGCTTGCAGTTGGTGCGGCAAGGCCTGAAGTTCCAGCCGCAGCGGGAATTCTTGCCTTGAGCAATTACCGACGGATCAGGCTCCTGTCTTGCACAAGGCACTCTGGCCTCACGGGCATGGTGACGCCAAGGTCCAGCGGAGGCGGGTTCGCACGATGCATGTTGAAGAGGTGGACCTTTGTGATGCTGCTGCTTGGCAGTAAAGCTCAAGATGCTGCAACATGAGCACGTGACGTGAAATCAACGTAGGCAACGATGAACCATACTACCATATTCACTTCCACAACTTCCATGGCAGCATCATGAGAAAGCTAAGGGCAAGGCGATTGGCAAGTGATCTCGCCTAGTTGCAACAAAAGAAGGGGCCAAGATGTTTGGGGGCAAGCTGTTGGTGTGGACGGCAGTTGGCTCCGCGATGACCTACAGCATCTGACAGCTTACCAGGGCTGCAGCTGAATCGCCACATCAAGGGGGTGTGGGCGAATGTGACCCTTCTCCTGTCTGTAAAGCAGCAGGAAGAGAATTGTGTCAGCTCCGGGTGCGTCCTCCACGTTCACTGCGCTGATCATACCCTCCTGCTGCGGCCTCAGCCGCTGGAACGGGTCTGCCTCCGCACAGTTTCAACGCTCTGCCAAGACCACTTCAAAGCAGCCAACAAGTGAAGTCTTAGCAAATGTCAGTGCGTTCAGATCCAAGGCATTGCAAGGATGTCTGGTTGCAAAAGCGTACGGCGAACCTGCCCAAAGTTGTAGCTAAGCGGCTCGAAAGCTCAGCAAAAGCTGACAGAGAAGAACATCGCCCATCTGCGAGAAGAGCACAGTACGCCATGACGCTACGACAACACTTCGTACCAAGACTTGCTTCAAGCTCAGAAAGATGTCCAGCTTCAGGAAAGCTTTAGAAACCCTTCCCACCTCAGCAGCAAGGAATAGGGCGGTGCCTGCAACAGGACAGCGGTAGCATCGTATGGTGCTAATGCACACACAACCAGAATGAGTGGCGGGGTTGAGGTTGCAGGTTCCCATTGCAGCACTTTCTGAGCTGCGGACGGTGCTGCCGCGGTGACAGCGGTGCCCCTGGCCTTGACTGTAGGCTTCATACAAGACATGAAGTAGTGTCCCGTAATGCTCAGCACGATGCGGGAAGCCAGCATGAAGTATCATCCTCAGTGTCAGGCTGGGTGTCTCCAAGGCCACGTCTCTCCGCGAGTGCCAGTCAACTTGAGAGAGCTGGGACGAAAGCTCAATCATGGACAGGACTGGTGAGACAGCACGCAAGCAGACAGACCATATACGACCAGAAGGGCAGGCAGCCCAGCCCTCACCTGCCCACTAACAGAACTACCGATAGCCTCCTAAAAAACACCCTCCAGGCTCCCTCCAAGATCCACCCAAGATCCCCCCAAAATCACCCCAGATTCCCCCAAGATCCACCCAAGATCCACCCAAGATCCCCCCAACATCCCCCCAAGACCCCCCAACATGCCCTCAAGACCCCCCAAGATCCCCCAAGATCCCCCAAGAGCCCCCCAAAATCCTTCCAAGATCACCCCAAGATAACATGCAAGGATGTGAAAAGGCCTCCCGCGGCAACACCGGAAAACCCGCCCTGCGGTGCAGGGAAGCCGCAAAAACCGGCCAAAATTGGCACCCCCCCCAGACCGCCGCCCATGATCCCAGGCTCACTCCGTGAAGTATTAAACGAAGCTCCCACACGGGGAGCTTTCGTGAGAAGGATTGCTGGCCAAGTGGCTTGACCGTGTCGTAGTCCCGAGCACACAGACATTGACGAAAGTGCGCTGTGGCTTTCGAGTTGTCCTCATCCAACATCATCCAAAAACAGCAGTGCAGGGCAGTATGGGCAGCAGCACTTTCCACACGTTGCACACATTTATGGATGTTGGTTGCACAAGTAAGCGCTGGCTGTCCTTGACTTGGATGAGGGATGGTAAGAAGAGGTTTGCAACATCCCAACCTCGGCAAGCGCTAGCGCGTATGCCATCTGACAAAGCTTGGCAAGGCTTGTGGGTTCCCAAGCACACTGCGACCAGGGATGTAAACGCGGCCAAACTGTGCCTCCTCTGGCACAGGCCCCTGGCAGACCAGTGCCCGTCAGGAAAGAACAGGTCCAGCCGCAATCTTGGCTGTGTTGCGTCCGCTCGATTTGTGGCTTCCCGCAATTCTCCTGAACAATTCAAAGGCTGCGTTCCACAGTTTGCAAGCTCAACACATTTGCGCAGGACACCCGCCTGCGGCTCGCAACGCCATATAGGGAAGCACGGGGCAGCATCAACGCAGTGTCTAATTTTCTTGTATATGTGTCAACTCTTGAAGTCTGATAGAGTCATTGAGTCTCAGAAGCAGATTCCCGACAATGCATACGTGCTCATTGCCTCTACCACTTTTAGCAGGGGCTTCCGCAAACAGTGGTTGCACTTGTGCTGCACTATAGTACTACACGTCATGATTTGGCAGAATGATGCGTTCAAGTCAAACACTCGAGAATGAAACAGCACGAAAAAAAGCTGTCCCAGCATTCTCGGCCGTGTTTTAAGATACCAACTGTGTGCTTGAATCAAAATGCATCTAAATGCATCTATCATGTCTCAAATCCCAGCTTGGGCAGTCACTGCTGGTCCCAGCGATGGATCCCAAGCTCCTCATGAATGGCCAACTGGAATGTATAATCAATATCTGTCATAGCAATTACCTGCCTCCCCAACTTTGTTTTAACAGACATCCAAGACAAACCCCACATCCTTGTGTGACAACGGGTGGAGCGCCAGCTTCCCGCATCAGCTTCGGACGGACTACCTGCAACGAAGCGGCATCCCAGAGCACCCAGTCCGCTACAGTCTCGCAAGAAAAATGAAGTAAACTGCAGTTTTCTGGGCTTCTTGGCCTCTTGACCTAGCCGAAGTCCTCCGAGGCCTAGAGGACATCTGCGGATGCAAGCTTGCTTCGAAAGCTCACCAAATGGTGAAAATTGTCAAGGCGGCGCGGATGCATGCCAGATAGCAAGGCTTCCCAGGTTCAAGTCTCGGCAAGTCCTTTCTTTTAACCGCGGAAGTATCAGGTCGCTGTGTTGCCTTCGCTGGCCTTTCAGCTCAAGTGAATTCTGTTCCCATACCATGATTGCTACATTTGACGGCCATGAACAAGTGCAATCAAGCGCTCCGCTAGCCTCAGGATCCAGCGGCCTCGCGTCAAATACAGTGACACATAGTACATCATCTAATGACATACAGGATGCAGCAGGAATTTCTGCTAAGCTAAATGGCCGTGGCTTTCTGATTTGGTCATGCTCAAGGCCCGAGGCTCTGGCCGAGGCTCTCCACGCCCATCGACTCTAACCTTTGCAATTCTTTACACATCTTTACAGTGACGTGAGGCTCAGGAAACACAAGACCATGGAGGGCCAGGCTGTGAGCTGCAAAATTCTGCAAACCTCCTCCAACACCTCAAACTTAGGCGATGCAATCTCCAAGGCTGGCACCATGCACGGTGAGCCGATCAGATGTTGAGCCAGAATCTCGCAAAGGATGGTGGGAGTGTTCTCCAACAGCTGAACAACTTTTCTTGCAAGATCTTGCAAATCATGCAGAGTTTGATCAGCTCAGCAGCCCAGTCAGAGGAAACTCCAACCGGCATGGTGCATGGTAATGCTGCGGATGCTGCGGACTTCTCAGACTTACCAGGCTCGAAACCCCAAATGAAAGCAGACCCCGTGCCAACCTCCGCCTCCGCAGTTTGGCAGTCCGCCCGGTCAAGGACCACCAGCTCCTCTTGCAGCAATCAGAGAGTCTGAGGCAGAAAGCTTCGCTCCACAGCGTCTCGAGCATCGGGACATGCACGCTGCCAAACTGGAGGGACGCATGCGCCTTCCCATCGCCATTTGGACGAAGAAAGTTGAACCTCAGACGACGTTTGGCCCGGCTTAGGGTGTCCAAGGCGCAGAGATCCTGAGTTGTTTGCACAAGCTGCTGCTGGTCACATCGGGCAACCTGCTCAAGGCATCATAGCTTATATCAGCATACTGGAACCACTTGCTCAAATGCTTCTAAGGGCTTATCCTACCTTCATGCCCATGCCGGTACAATATTTGTGACTTTGTGACTGCGCAAATCTCTCAACAGGCAGTTCTGTCGTTCTGCCCTTGAAATTGTTTGTTGCAAGTCCTGCGCACCTTACAATCACTACCAGTTTTGCGAGAATAGGTGTCTGGAGATGAGCTTGTGCATTGCTACCGGACAGATCGTGATCCACGGATTAGGCTGCAGCCACCAGCCCCAGCATGAGACATGACAAATGGCACTGCGCACCGCTCTGGCCAGTTCCGCAACGTTTCGCATGGTTTGCCCAGCGAAGGAGTGAAGGACAATGTTGCCTGCAGCTGGTGCAAGCATACTCCTTCGATCATCGATCGACAAAATCCTGAGGTTCTGTCCAAGTCCATGGTAGCCTGAATTGCATGGATGCGCCAAGACCTGTCCAAGGGAATGGCCCCGCTTCTGCGGGGCGAAGCATCCAAAACTGGGAGAGCAGCGGAGACTCTCAATGTGTATTCTCGAAGCAGGACTGCTGCTTGCATGCAGCCGTTGAAAGCAGTTCCGTCGAAGTCATGTCTGAAGAAGTGCAGGTTGCCAAACCTTATAAGGCACACTTTTTTGGCCGCTGCGCTGCACACGAAGAAGGATATGCGGCCCTCTTGGAGACGTGTTCGTACGTCTTCGAAAAACTCATCAACTCGTTCTTGCGCCTTAATGACCTCGGAGCTGGCAACTCTGGTGATTTGGCGATTTACGATAGCTACATTCTGTGGCACCTCGTTGTCTGACAAGGTGGCCTGGACAATCCAGCTGTTGTCATCCAGAGCCTGATTGCAGTCCCGCACAGTTTCAGATTGAGAGCCTCTAGTAAAGACACAGCGCACCTTGATGTCGAGCCGGCTGTCATCCCGCCTCTCCCCAGGTGGGAACCTGGCGCTTGAGCCAGGGATGCTGGCATCTCCCTCTGCGAAGTAACAATTTGCCAGGCCCGCGATTTGAAGAGGAGGCGGCCTTTCTCTTGCATGAGCACTGAAGGCCTCCAACAAGGGCGCCAAGCTCTGATCCACACACTTCAGAAGCCAAGCAACGTACCTCAACAAGCTTGCCAAGCTCTGCTCACCTGAACAAAGCCCAGCAATGCCCGGCGTACGGAGCATGGGATTTGAACGGAGCAATGCTTCCGCAAGGAAGTGTAAGGCCTCCTTCTTCACTGGGAAGATTCCCCAAGAAGTACTTCACCTCAGGCAACAGCTACTGTACGCCAACTCCTTGACAGGAAGATCTTCGCACCTGCCCAGAAACGACTACAGGACACTCTGGCTCTACGCATCGCACACGGTATCATCACCCAATTTTGCCATGCTAGCAAACAATCGCGCTTTTTCGGGTGCAAGGTGCTCCAATCGACCTGGCGCCTGCGGCAGGAAGCCGCACGAAAAGCTCTCGCCTTGGAAATCGTTCAATCATCTTCGTGCTGCAGGACATGGGTGCCAGGATCAAACCTGAGCTGCGGACGACCCATCCTTCATTGGCTTTGCCAGCGAAAAGTAAGCCACGTGCTCGCCTCCAGAATCCTCGGAGGTGTGAAGTGGCTCCAGAGTCAAGCATTGTCAGGCCATAATGTGTAATGAAACGCTCCCAAGTGACGAGGAACTCTAGTAAACCATCTAGCTTTTGGAGGTCTCCGTAGATATTCGTGCCAGCTTTGCACTCGATCATCCTTGGCGTCAGAGCATGCATGAAAAAGTGCTCGCGAGGCTGACATCTGGATCAATATAGATCAATTGCTGCACGAAGAGAAAGTCCGCATATTCTGACAAGACACGCCGCCAGCTCTGGCGGATCACCTTTGCGCAGGAGGATGCCGTCCACCTCTGCCTTGATGCCTGGGGCGATCAGAGACTTTCTGAGAAGTTCCAGTCTCGAAGAAAGACGGAGTACGGAAAGGGCCCCGCTGGGCACTTAAATGACTGTTGGCACAGGGTTCGACTGGTGTACAAGAAGATTCCGAAACAGAAAAGTCGCACGGGCATTGATTAGCAAGCAGCTTGGTGTTCATAGGAAACCATCTCAAGGCTGGCGGCGGGCGGCCTTCCGGGACTGTTCTCGCTCCGCCCAAAACGTTCAAGCTCGCCACAAATTTCCTCGGTGCTTTTAACCCGACTGCGGAGCTTTAAAGACTGATGATTACCCTCGCGATCGGGAACTATATGCAGGTCAAACTTCAATTTTCCTCACACTCTCAACTTGCATTTACAACATCATCTGTCTGCTTTTGCCAGCGGCATTCCAGTGCTAAATCGAAGTAACTCTCTCAGAGAACATCAAGAGAGCTTACGAAACGTTCGTGTGCAGAAGCTGATGCACGGAACACAGCGCAGGCAGATTACAGAAATTGATTAGATGCAGAGACCACGGACGTACTAACATCTACACCCTCTTGTGGCCGTGTGCTAGCAGCAGCTTAGAAGCATGTCATCAGGTTCACTGTGCAGGCTCTCCTCGCCCTCACCTGAGGCAATGGTAGGCCCGGTGCTGAAATATCAAAATACCTTGATATCCTCACCCTTGCCTTGCTTTGCCGATTCATGTAGCCAGGCACCTCGCGAAGGATCAAGCAGCAGGCTTCCAAGACTCAGCGAGACTCACATTCCTTGTTTTGGAGCTTCAACCACCACTCGCACTCGAGTAACTAGAGTCATGCGGTCATGCAGTCAGGTCACCTGCATCTCTCTCGTGCGCCTGCCCACGAATCCGGCCATCCTCTGCTGCCTACGATCCAGGAACGGTGGAATCTTTGAACAGCGATAGTTCGCAAATGCACTTACCCCACCCACTGGCCCCACTCGCCCCCCTTGCCCCTTGCCCCACTTGCCCCACTCACCCCACTCGCCCCACTTGGCCCACTTGCCCCACCAGCCCCACTCGCCCCTCCCTACTCCCCCCACTGGCCCAACTTGCCGACAAAACTCCCGAATCTGGCCCCCTCACACCCCCCTTTCAAGGGTCTGCAAAGGCACTGCTCTGTGGGGCGAGTGGGGCGTGGGGAGAGTGGGGCGAGTGGGGCGAGTGGGGCGAGTGGGGCAAGTNNCCCCCCCCCCCGCAGTCGCAATGGATTTTTCAATTAGCATCACGCAGGTGCTATGGTGCCAGGCCTCGCTGGACTCAATTTGGCCAATGGCGGCCTGGCACATCTCTTGGGCCCCCAGCTGACTTAGCATTGTACAACTACCTCTGGTTCTCATTCCCTGCCAATGGCGGTTGCAGATTTTTGTCTCGTGAGTTCAACGGAGGATGAGTTACTTGCCACCTGGAAACAAACCAACGCAAGCAGTGCTCTGCTGCTGCAGCAGGCCAGCTTAACAGAGCTCGGATCAAAAACGGATCCCAAACTTTCAATATGCCACAAAAGGTTCACACCAGAGGTTCGCTTGCACGACGCGTCGGACCTGAAGCTCTCTGCAGAAACATGCACAGCTTGCTCTGAGCCTCCAGAATCTCAGGACCTGATACCCAGTCGGGCAGCCAATCTGCAGTCCTGAATAGCAGCTACGGTTCTCTTGAAAGGCTTTGTGGACAACACGCAGTCAACAAGACAACGCCTCGATGCATCTCACTTGCATGGACAACGGGTTTGCGATCATGTCTCCCAGAGCTGCGAAGTCGCTCTCGCATGACTATCAAGGCTTCGTGCGCCACTGGCTTTGCTTCTTCCGCTTTTGTCCTCACCGCATCCTGACAAAATTGCTGGCACTGTGATATTTTGAGGACCTGCATGCACAACTGCACGTTGACCGTCCTGTCGGTCAGGAGGCATTCCTCGAGCAGCATGCTTCGCGATGAGCTGCTCCGCCGCAGCCCTGCCAACATGCACCCTACTGGGCCCCAAGCCTTTGTGCGCTGTGCCCCAAACCCCCAAACTGCAGGAGCAACTCGAGGCTGAGTCACGTGGAGGCGCAGTCTCTCTGGCGAGCCTTGCTTTGGAGTCGAGCTTCTGCAACACGGGCAGAATAGAGTCCTAGAAGGACCAGTGTGTGAGTCCAACATTTACACCGGTGTGTCATGGTGGCCATGCTGAGCATTGCTCCGTTTGCCTGCTGTCCTCTTCACTGCCACCCGCAAAATAAGACAGCGCCCTACAACTGTGCGCGAACACGCATGCAGTTTCAGCAGCAAAGGATGAAGGAACAGCGGAAATAGCTCTGCAACCACAATACACTCAGACTCACCATACTTTGCGCGCCTCAGCTTCAGCTCTCCCCGGGGGCAGACATCTTTGGCACCCACCAGGTACGGATACAGCGCAGTCTCCTTCAACGTAGCTGTCCAGCACCATGTGTCCCCCGCGGCAACTCTGTCGCTATCCTGCCTCCACTGCTATGTGGTCCCACAGCGCCCTCAAGGCATCCAGGAGACTCACCGTTGTGCTCCCTTCAAGCACCTAGACTCAGAGATACTCAGGGTCTTCACAGCCACCTTTCGATGTCTGAAGATACAGCAAAGATTTGCAGTCTGAAGTAGTCTTAACTTGTCGCGTAGAGCTGCGATACGACCGTCGGTCGCCAAGTGTAGCTCAACAAAGTCCCGGTGCAGCTTTGCAGCACCTGCAGTACATTCAAGATTGGCTGCAGCTGCTCTTATAAAATTCAAGCACACTTTGCCTGAATGCATCACTGGTCTGGCTGCAAAAGCCCAGTGGCTCAAGCGGAAACCTGCTTGGCTGAAGGAAGCTGAAACATTCTTCGCTTCGAAAGGCTCAAGGCAAGTCACACGTCAGCTCAAGATTATGACGAAGGCCGGTGAATATGGGATTTTTCATGCTGGCCTGCGTGTTGTGCTGTGTGCTGCCGAGAGGCTCAGTAAAGGGCAGCAAACCACAGCTGCCAGCACACCATGGCAGCGCGCTCGCATAGGAAAATCTTGGCTAAAGAGCGCGCTGATATTGATGGGTAGACAAGGGAAACATCCACAAGCTGGAATTCATATCAACTAATTCACCATCACCTAAGGGATTCCTGTGAGTCTGCGGACAGCAATCCCCATCAACGTATACACGGTAAGAAGAGCAAGCTTGAAAGCACATCAACTCCCGTTCACATGCCGCCTTGGACAGGATGATGACCTGCTGGCCCTCCTCTGTCATAGCTTGGCCAAAGAACTGATGAATCCTGCGCCAACAAAGACATTGTAGGGTAGTCTTCCGATGGCTGCCGCAAAGAATTGGCTGCAAGGTTGTTCTGGGCTCTGGGCAGGGCACGCGCTTGGTTGAAGTGTTTGTCATTGCCTGGCATTGCTTCTATCAGCTCCCTTCTCAAGCTGAAGCCGGCCCCCGCATTTCAGATCGGCCCATGGATGACTCAGCGGAATGAACACGAGGCCACCCACGATAGTGTACTCCTTTGCTGGCGTCCAAAGCAAGCGCTTCAAGCGCGCAGTGAGCGTGCGTGCCATGATCATCTTTACCTGGGCTCAGATCTGCCGCAGCATCGTAGCCGTCCATGCGTGGAACCAGCCAGCGGTCGGGCCTGGCATGCGGTTTCATAACGTTTCATGGAGCAGGCTGGATCACGATGAGACAAGTTAAAGAAAGCAAAGCGCAGTCAACAAAGGGGCCCGACAACTACATACAGCTCCAAACTGAAGACACCACCAAACCCGCGCCTCAAAGAAATGTCGACCTTGGACGCTAGCGGAACTGAACAAACTCGAGGTTCAACTCTCATCAGACTCTACTCAGTGCTCTCCGAGCCGCCTCATGCTCGCTCTTCTGACGCCAGACTTTGAGATGGACGGATTCCTGTCCTGCGTTTTGTCAAGTGCTGCTGGCCTTGACTCCATGCACGTACTTACATACTTACAAAGTTGCCAACAAACATGGGGCAAGGTTGCAGATTGTGTTGAGGTCCTGCATTTCGCTTAGTCACAAGGTGCTGGAAATGGATACGCTCCTTGAAAGAGCCGCGAACGATTGTGGCATTCAGAATTCAGCGCTAGGCCGCCGGCATTGTCTCGTAGCGGAACCGTGCCGTCCTGACAAAGGCAGTTTCACAGCATTCCCTTTACTCATGGTACAATCGAGCAGAGAATGCAACAGCGACCACAGTACTGTCCTGGCTAATCTCCACCCCGTCAATCTCCAAGAGCACGTCATCCTCCTTCGTGTGTAGCATGGTGAAGCAGTAATCAATACCAACCACTAATTGGAGTTGCAAAAGAAACCTCTTTTTGCCCGAGAAGCTGGCAAGAGATCAAATTGAGCGCAGGATAGAGTGCGAACTATGCGTGGACAAACGGTCCCTGAACTACATCCTTCCCTTAGGAAGTATCCCAATGCACTTAGGCTCAGGGTAGCGGAGGGGACGTGGCGGTAAGCCCAACCATTGCAAGGGCAAAATGAGAAATGGTGATGATCGCGTTGGCAAATAGTGCAGCACTTGTCACTTAAAGCCAACTTAAAGCCCTTTCTCATCATTAACTGCCTCTGCCAAAGACACCTTTTTACCCCGAGACGCTGGCAAGAGATCACTTTGGGTGCAGGATTGTTAACGAGTCCCGCACGGACAAAGAGTCTCTCTAATACCAGGATGCAGCCCGTCTTTCCTTTAGCGGGCCACCCCGGCTAGGGAGAGGACTCACCCGGCCTCGAATACCAAGTAGTAGAAAACAAGCGAAACCTGGAATCCAAGGAAATTTATGGGGCGGTGACGTGGGCGAGCAGAAGACTTTGCACCGAGGTTGCGCGGGCGTCGTCCACGTACATGCGGGCTGTCTGTTGGTCTTTCTACAAGTAGCAAGCCTCATAGTCCGACCTAAGGATTAGGTTTGCTGATAAAAGTGGATTGCTCCTCCACGACAATCCAATAGATCTCACCAATGGGGCAAAAGCAGCTTCAAAAGACGCGACTGAACCAATGAAGATGTAGTTCAAAGAAAAGATAATATTGTAACCAGATATGTTTGCGGTACAGACAGAGATTGTGACAGACCACAAGAAATCTCTGCATTGATGATTGCAATAACCACTGTCCCCTGACCAGGAAATAGACGTACATGAATCGTTCGCAAGAAGGCAGCAAGGCCAATGAAAGCTGAAAAGCCAAGGTCTGGACGTCTCACTTTCAGCGCTGCAGCGTTCATCGCTTTGGTCCCCATGGGTTGGAAGATAGACTCGTTGCCAATTGCGGAAAGAGTTTCGCTGTTGTGAGATGAGGGCGGGATCGAGGAAAGAATCTGCGGAGACCCCTGATCGTCCAGCCTGCCAGTCAGAGATATGCAATCAGCATTTGCGGGAGACTGCCCTTTAGGGCTCGAGTGTACTGGAAAATGTCCACACCGCCCTTGCATAGCACCGTCTGGTCATTGGCATCGGCGTCCAAGAAGCCCTTGATCGATCTCTTTGCCATGGCATGTCCTTGACTGATCGCGCGGACCCAAGTTGGGAAGACCTTCCCGGCGATCTCTGTCCCTCTAGCCCGGAGGTCCAGTCACCCGCCCAATCAAGTCGACGTCCGTCCCCGCTCACCCAGGCGAGTATTACCCGCATCCCAGTCCAATGGAGCTGGGGTAGCCACAACCTTCAAGGCCACAGCCTTGGGAAAGGGAAAGTTGGACGCTCCGGGCTTTTGCCGTCGGGTTTCACGATGTTTCACCTTCGCTTTGAGAAAGGCGGGAGTGTTTTTTGTGTGATCCACCCGCGCCATCAGCCTAGAGAGCGCTTGATAGGCCCAATGACCCGATTAAAGCGCAGGCCACAGAAGACCTCACGAGGGGGGAGACTCGTCAGTGCAGCATCATAATCAGTGACAATGGCGAGCAGGACATGCTCCGTGAAAACAACCGAGGTTGCACAGCAAAGGACCTTGTCAACAGCTGGCTGGGGGCAGGGGCCTGTTTGGCCCACTCAAACACGAGCCAAAGGACCTCCGAAAGGCAGCGGCAAAGGTGGCTTTCCCCCAGCCCAATGTCGGACGCAGAACGGTATTGCCCATGTCCATGGAAATTAGGCTAAGCCAGAGGTCGAAGACACCTATTGAATCCTCCTGCTGCCAATCATCTCTCCCCATGCAGGGCTCCGCACAGCTGCTTTTCCAGCTTTCAGGGGAGCCCAAGTTCTTCGCAGGCATTGATGAACTTGATGTGCTTCGGCGAAGGTCATCCTTTCTTACCTATGGCAATCTACCCTTCAAACTTGTCAAGGTAGAAGGCCGCCTGGCTCCTGCGTCGGGTAAGAGGAATCCCTTTGACGCCACCCCAGCTGGAACCTTGGCTATTACATGGGCGGGACAAGCCTCAATTTGGGCGTGAGTTGCTCAGGCATCACTTCGCATTGTCTGGGCAAGAACGGCCTCCAACAGTCTGGCGTCCTGAACAGGTTGATCGGTGACGCAAGATCGTCTGAGCCCATCACTAGATACGAGTCGGGCTCGGCAAGGACTGCCGTCAGCTGGCCGATGCAAGGCCATGAGTCTTGGGGCCCAGGAAGCAAAGGATGGAAAGAAATCTCTGGAGGGCGGCTCATAGCCGGCCTTCACCCTTTGAATATTAATCTGCCGACAAGGTTTGAAGCCAACTCTTCACGAAGGCATGCTTTCAACCTTGTCCGCCACAAGGTTTTCCACACGGTGTCCGAGCACGCAATGAATCGGCTGATGAGATCAGATGGGACAAGCCAACCTTTCAATTGCCTCCTCTTGCGCTGAAGAGAGCACGGCCAGTGCTGGGAGCGGGCTGCTCTAACCAATGCAATAAAGGAAGTTGAGAGACAACACCGAAGCCCGAAGACAGTCGCCGGCCAAAGAAGTCGCCCCAAGGCCTTGACCGGCATCTCCTCACCAATGCATTGTTTCGGAAGGCAGGCCGCTCCCTCGTCACCACTCTGGCAAGAATCTCCTGCGTCAAGGGCGAGGATGTCATCATCCTGATGGGAAATCTTTTCCTTCGCCTCGCCCCTGGACGGCCCTTCACCAGTAGATGGCTTTTCTGGAGATTATTCCAGCTCCTCCTCCTCCTTTGCTCTCCTGGGGCCTCCGCCACTGAAAGCTCCGGCTCCTTTGAGCCAATGCGTCCGCGGCTGCTATCTGATAGATCCCCTCCTTGTCATATTTCAGACAGGGTCCTCGCGCAGCCAGGTCCAGCTGTCCTGAAGCGGTCCGCGTGACAGTTGAAGGAATTTCCTCTCCTCGACTCTTTGCACCATCCCTGTGCCGTTATACAAACGCGCACTCCAAATTCCCAATTGTCTTCTTTTTTTGCGAACATGGTGCAGGCACGAAGCGGGGTGCTTGTCAGAGAATGCTAAGAAGGTGGATCGATCCATCAACAATTCCCAGTTCGCGTCTTCAGCTTATAGGCTTATAGGGAAATCCAGGCGCCAGGCATGGAATGCTTGGGACCCGCTAGGCTAACCGATGGCTAGCCCTGAAGCCCAATACTGCAAGGGCAAGATGAGAAAAGGTGATGACTGCGTTCACACAAAGTGTAGCACTTGTCACTTAAAGTACTGGAAGGCCATGCTTGTCGACAACCCACGCAGCCTGCCTCCAGCTTCCCAGAAGATGATCCCAAAGGCCACACCTCCAGCGACCAGAGCTGGCATAAACGCCCTGAAACTTTGGCGTCCCCAGCTTTCTAGACCCTATCACTTCTACAAGGGAAGCGTCGCGTAGCTAGTGCAACATCCCAAGTCCCGTAGCATCCACCACTGCCTTGGCTACGCGGACGCCTGCAGTACAGCCCTGGCACACGCAGAGATCAAGGTTTTGTGTCATGTGCGAAACCGTTCAGACCAAAGCAGCTATGGAAACAAAGCAGATTTTCGTCCAGTCCCTTTTCAATGCTCCGCAGTCCAGGGCCAGGGTTCAGAATGCTGAAGCGCCAGGATTGACGCACTGTGGAACAACCTCATGCTCTTGAGGGATGGAACTGGCTTTGTGACATCTGTACAGTCAATCCACAGGCCCAGACCTAGGAATTAACGCTCAAGAGCATCTCAAAGATGCCACCGGATGAGCCGGAAGGACCATTGCAAAAGCACAGCCAAATGATACCGGGCACTACAGCACTGCACCTCCCCTCTTCTTTCATCAGGCCTCCCGGCAAAGCGGATTTCAACGGTTTAAAAGCACCTTACCTTGGGTGGGGCAAAAGCACACTCATTCTTGAGTTCTCCCAATTTCTTATTGCACTTTTGAAGGCAGACTCTCGCCTAAAGCCTAAAGCAAACACGATTAGCGTTCGGACTCTGGAGATCTCGTTCGCAAGTCTGGATCGCATTCGCCCCACCGCAGCTTAATTCATGAGGTTCGAGCAAACCCCATGAAAACAGGTCCCTCCTTCGAAATGCACGGGATTGTCATTCAAGAAGAAAAGGTACACGCAAAAGAACATAGTATGGGCTAGTTCTGCGCAGATTCAGCAATATAGACCCACATGGTTCGCATCCTGAATGCCCTCCCATTGGCGAAATTAGCTGCTGTATAAACCCAGCAGCTGCAAGTGACGCCTATGCTCGTCAGAAAAGAGGATACACCTTGAATCCAAATTCACAACGATGGAATTCAGAACATCAGTCGGCGTAGCGCTAACAGTCCCATTAACGAACAATGGAAAGGTGTATCCTTGCACTACAGCAATACTGCACTGGCCGGACACACTGTGCTAAGCCCAGGCTGACTTGGCCCCATCCCATAAAGGAACCTACCCGCACTCACACTTCTTTGCACAACATGCTCGGCTTGTGCTTGGACAAGCCCACTGGCCATGCAGCAGCGCCGTCAAACTGTGAATTCGATTTTTTGCAATCTATAGCCTCATCTGAGAGGTTGACATCACATCTTCGTGAGCAGCATACCAGAAACCCGCCAGCCACAGCAAGCAGTGATAGGGGCAGGCCAAGATAACTTCTGACAGCTTCGCAGTGCCAGCATTGATGCGGAATCAACCTCCTGAATAGCTCGATCTGTGCGACTGGACCTTTTGAGACACGGCGTGCCAGCTAAATTTCACAACCCGTTCGGCCCCGCAGGGTGGCTCATGTGGCTCCCAGTTTTCTGGCAACTCCAGTAACCAAAGTTGACTGACTCTACCGTCGCTTCATGTATGGATGTGGATACGATCGAGATCCAACAAGAAGCACAAACATCACTTGTGCTAGTTAGCTGATAGCTCACGACCATATGGAAAGAAAATCTGCGCTTATTCCCAAATGCAGGGCCAGCCCGACCGCGTTGCAAGTTGCAATTAAACCCGCATGAGCGAGAGGGATTGAGGCAGCAAGCACCACGTCATTCGCATCGCGAACTCAGAGGCGTGGCCTGCAGGTAAAACCAAAAACTGGAGCAGTAAGCAGTGAAGTAACTGTTGGCCCTCAACACGCTGTTCTAAGGGGGTCGTTGCGCATCCATGATGCCTGCCCTGTCATGCTTGCAAAGCAATGCCTTGTGGCAGAACGTCCTGAGCTTAGCCGGGCTTCTGCTCGCTGCCTGGATTGCAAAGATGATCTTCAAAGAAAGATAATTCGAAGACAGTAGCTGACAGGAACAACACTGCAGTTGGCGGAGCGCCTCCGTGGCCGGGCCGTCGGCGGGGCGCGCGGAGCTTCTTCGAGGGCGCCGGGAAGTCCAAGCGCTCCCCGGTACCTGGGTGGCTTCCGCCGTACATGTCAGTGAAAACTCGAAGCGCAGGCGCCGGGCCTTGCGCAAAGATCGCCGGCTTGAACTCGTCAGGCACACTGCTGTGCATGATGGGGCTGTCCCTCAAGCAACCAAAGATGCAGAGAGAGAGAGAGAGTCCAGAAATCATGACAGGAGGCCTATGCATTCAATATCATCAAGTGTGCTCCGTGCTGCTTCCCTAGCTTGCAAAGTCCACTGGCCCCGCCCTGCCCGCGGCACCTGTAACGATCCACATGCGCCTGCTGTCCTTGGTGGGGACCGCTCCAGCTTACGCTGCACACCTGCAGCACAACAGCTGCACATGAATCAGTGGAATGTTTGCACCGGTCTCTCACTGCCTTCGCGCTGGGAAGGACCCATCGTGTGTAGCCGTCAAAAACTTTCCAAAAGGCCTCTCTGCAATCAAACATGAAGGAACCGTTAGCAGCACGCACTTGCAGGTCTATGAAACCGCCTTCACCTGATGTTCATCGACCAGGTTCACCTGCTAGACCGCCACGGATCTATCAAACATCTCTCCGCTTCGCACAACGACTAGACAAGTCACTAGAACGAAGTGCTTAATTTACAGAGATCTCGCTTTCTACCTTCAAGGTCAAGGGGCAAATGCATAGCCCAGGTTTGCTTTCGACCGGAAATCCTTAGCAGCGCATTGCTTGCTTGGACTGCTGGCACTCATGCAAGCGAGCAACGTAGGCCTCTCTGCATACCAAGCATCGATCGGGAGGTACAGGAAATCATAGTTGCCCTGGACAAGAGGGCCCAACACACCATCGCAGCTCGGTCAAGGTTTAAAGGTCTTTTCTGCTTTTGCAAGAGCGAGGCCGTGCCTTAAATCCCTCCTTGTCCATCATTGTACTCACCATTGCCCGGGTGTAATTGTTTGGAAGATTGCCTTAGAAGCCAGATATGCTGAGAGCGTATAGTATATCCCTGCTTTGTAGGCTTCTGGCGCAGCATCACAGTAGTGCGAGGCTGCGAAGAGCGTGGCTGCGAGGAGGAGGCAGCGCCATCTGGAACGATGCGCTTGAACTTCTCTGGCAGTCTTAAAATGTCTTAAAGGCTTCCAGCACAACCTGGCCTGAGCTGGGCTGCGGAGCAATGAAGCCAGGCCTGCAGCAACAAAGCAACGATAAGCGCTGAAGTGCTGAAGTCGACGACATCATATCTCTCTCATATTCGTTCCGAGAGGCAAGTTCAAGGTAGGCACACCCACCACGTACTGGGCCAAGAGCTGATCAAAGGAAGGCCTGCAAGCAAAGCAAAAAATGCAGATGTCGGGGTAAAATCAATGTGCCCTGCCTATAAATCCCAGCAGCTCCCAGCACAGGCATCATGGGCGGGGGTCGACTGACCCTTGGAGGCGTATCATCCTGCCCAAGAGAAACCAAATTCTAGTGTGATAATACGTGAGATATATCTTGAAACGGGGCCTCATTCAGCAGGTTGGAGATTAGCAGCCGACTTCGTCCACTGGGACGCTCCTCCTACTGCGAAAGAACACTAAACAGCAAGGAAGTTGTTCAACGGCAACGCAGCTTTGGGCCTCGATCTTGTCTTTCTCTCCAGTGTAGGACTTGCCCCCAAGCAGAACCGGAAGCTCCTCCTGTACTTCATCCTCACCAGCCTCTGCAACGGAATGCTTACAGCCTTACAGCTCAAGATGAAGTTGCAGTGTTCAGGCACGTGCCCAAACTGAATCCTCCCTAGCCTGGTCTATCGGCCCTTCCGTATTGGAAGTGACTGCTTTGACAAGCTCGATGGACCTCCTGAGCAGGTGCAGCCATCACGGCACCACCCCAGGTACGGGATGCCACGTAATTGCAGCAATGCCTGCCCAGGGTCGGATAATCAGGATACTCCTCCTCATCAGTCTCCACATCTTTTGACTGGATACGTGGGGAGCCATCAACGCGATCGTCGTGCGCAGCCTGGCAAGCTTTCAAAGCAGAACCTTGCAGGGAGGAACCTAGCCATTCATGATATAGCCCGCAGCGTGGGAGGGCCTCGTCATCCACCACGGATTTGCCGCTGAGCTGTCGGCTAAATCGCGACGTGATTACAGAATCCTTGGAGCCACAGAGAGGAAGGAAGCCAAAGTGGTGTCGCTTCCTCAAGCTGGATCCAAGGCTCGGAGTTGTAGGTTGCCGGCAAACCCCTTGGAGTGACGTCCTCCACCACCTGGCGGGGCCATAGGCACGAGTTCCCAAAGTAAAAAGCCTCCTTACAGGATCTGAATGCATACACTATCTAAGCTGCGGGCCTCTTTATCAGTAATGCTCCCATACTGCAAAAATGCCTGCCTCCAGGAACGTCTTCTTTACAATGACTTTATCAGTACCTGACAGCGAAGAGAAAACACGCCCTTGCAAGGTGATTCTGCACTGCTGCTTCGGCCTGCGTCCCCGGAAGGGAAGGGAAGTCGGAGCCTCCAGATCAACGAGGGGCACAGAAAGGCGCAGAAGCGCAATGCCCGAGAATGCCCGAGAAAAGGCCAAAGCAACTGCAGTCCAAGGCTCGGCTCCATGGCCTTCCGCGCTCGTCGGGTCGGCGCTTGGTGTCTTCGTTTGAAGCTCTGAGCCGCTGCAGATGTGCGGTGAACATCCCAACTCACTACACTGACTTGGAAGCAGATCAACGTCCGATCAAGTAAAGCTTGCAATGCCCGAGTCAACATAGTACTCCAGATACAAAGTGCAGCTGCCCTGCGACCGCCTCCGGGAGACCCAACATCCGCCGCAGAGGGTGGCTTTCCTGGTAAGGTTGGGTAACACGGCTCCTCTTGCGCCTGAGACTCCGAAACCCAGGGATCTGCGAGAAAGGTCCAGCGTCTGCACTCGGCCAACGCCCAGGGAGGAGACTCCAAGGTATCCCTGGACAAGACTTGGCTTGATGCCACAGAAGGCTTCACCATGAAGCACAGACAGGACGCGCCTTTCCTGTGGCCTCGCAACCACCCTCGGTTGGCACACCTCACACATTCCGGAAATTCCGGACGCACTGGCAAGAAGAATCCGGCTGCCAAAAGACTTGAGCCTGCGCACAAGATAAACTGCTCCAACACCTCCGTCACAAGCACAAAACTTCCACAGGAAAGAAGTTCTGGGATCGAGCAGCGTCAAACTGTAACCGAACCCTTTACAAAGCCTGCGTCGGAATGATGTATCCGATGTTCGAGGCCTAGGTGCTTTGATTGCGGGCACTCTTTCAGCATTGAGCGTTGCTTCATGGGGATGTAGGTATGTCGGAGATCCCGGCATTCTTCAAATGGCTTGCCGCCACTCCCACGACTCTGCCATGGCTTCCGAGCACGGGGCCTCCAGAGTTACCTGGCAATGCAGTAATGTCCCAAAGCCAGTTCTTGATTATTCTGATTTGTCACTGCCTGGGTTGATCGCGGCATCTATTTGAATGCGTAGCAGCCCATCCATGTTCACGTCTATGCCTTGTCATGTCAAAGGTTCAGCTGCCCAGGCTCTCGTGGTCTGTTCGACTCACACGCTTCCTTCTTAGAAGTCCGTGTCCCCGGCGCGAGACAACACCACGGGTAACAGAGATGTTCTCTCCACCCACTGGGAACCCAATGCACCTCACCACAGAGTCACGTCCATGAGCATTTTGGACAGAGACAATACCGAAGCTCTCTACTTGCTCGAAATCTGCCATGCCTTCTGGCCGAACATCTACACTACTAGAATCTAGAATCTTCCAGAATACCTCAGTTTGATTGCATCTGCCGAGCTGCGTGACGTTGTCGTCCAGCTTTGGGATGTCGCGGGAAAGACTTAAGGACTCCTTGAAGGAAAATGGACATGACCGATTGATCATATGGGAGGCCATGAGGTTGTAGCGTGGCGCAGGCAGGCTCCACTGTTGGGAAGGCAAGGATGTTTGCTACTGCAACTGCAAATCGCAAAGCCCTAACGGCCCAAGCGATCCTTTCCCTTCCAGAATTCATCCTCCACCGCAAGTATCGCCAGATCACCTTAGCAGTTCCGCGATGACACAGATCGGGCTTGTGAGTCTTGTGCTTGACTCCCTTGCCAGCCCCTTGGACATGAATGCATACCAAATCTTAAGCGAGCTGCGGCTGCATCTGTTTTCTTGTAAAGCTGTGAAGTAGACATCATTGGCAGTCTTATGTGTTTAATCTTCTGATGGTGCAGTGGTGACTGCTACACATAGCCGAGAAGCATGGTAAGCCAACGGCCACCACCCTCACTCATATCAGCAAGTGAATCAGAACTCAAATTTCATTTCGGGTACCCATTCATCGCATGCCACTTGCGCAGGCCTCGCGTTCCACTTCACCGGCGGCCCAACAGTTGCACGGACAAGCACCGAGACAGCACGATGCACTACATGCGCGTTGGTGACCACGAACCTAGGCGCAACAGACATCAGAAGGCGGCGGATGCGACGGGCCTGCGCAGATTCTGTTCTGCAGCTGTGGGCCACAGGCCTGTCATCAAGGAGGAAGCCGGTACCGGTGGAGGACTGCTGACCTCGGCATGGCAATCAGGAGAAGAGTTCGGAAAAAAAGCTTGGGGACTGTTGCCAAGGACTGGGCTATGCTTTCGCCATGGGTCAGCAAAGTTGCACGGAACCTGCAACACTGCTGGTAAAATTCCAATGAAAGTTCCTTCAAAAGCATGAATGGCCCTCTTCACGAAGAGCTTGCACACCGAGCCGGTGCCAGCAGAGATGCCGCGGCTATGCCGTGATCGACCTGGCGCACACGCCGTCGTGATGGTAGCCATGGTTCTCTTGGAGTCCTGGCTCTCGAGACTGCGGCCTGCAGCACCGCCAGCACCGCCAGCACCTCCGGTTCGAGAACGCTTGGAGGCCCTGGCCACCAGCTCATCACCTGGCACTGGAGGGAAGGCTGATAAACAGTGAGCTTGTGAGGCCGTGTAGCACCTCCCTCTGATCCGGCAGATTCACAGCTCTCGGCCATGAAAGGCTGGATGAACAGTAAGTCAAATGTTGCACAAAGCTTTGTCACTCAGCTTTGAGTTTCGCCTGTGGGTTCAAAGCTGTACGTATGATTTGCACGTGGTCTTTGCAACCCGAACCAACCCTGGCTTTCGCGTACCGGAATTCACGTATGGATCCTGGGCAGATCTTGCGAGTGAATCTTTCTGATGGCTGCCTTGTTTAGCAGTTCATGGCAACATGACATGCAAGCCATCTTTGCGAATGAAAGCTACAAGCTGTCTGCGGAGATAATGGTGGCCAATGTTGGCAAGATGGAAAGAAAACCGATAAACGTATCTGGAAGCAGGCGTGCTCACAAGTTGGCAGCTCAGTGCATTCTGCTCTTGGCAATCTTAAGACTGAGGCGAACAGGAGACTGGTCTGGGGATGCTCCCCTGTCCAGGAACAGGAAGGAACGCACTCATCCCAGAAGCATTCATCAGAGGCAGCTTAGCTTTGCTGCCTCTGTGAGAGGTCAGGCCTGACTACCATGAAGCTCTCCCCAATGCCTGCTAGCACAACCAGCAAGGGAGACTGTCAAATGCTTTCAGAACAAATGGCACACACTGGCCTGCGGTATTTGCTGAGTTGGGCCTCGGCCCGAACACTTGCACACACTGGGACACTGGAGCATTCTGGTGTTGCGAAGTATCCGCTGGGTATCAAGTTCGAGCAGCACACCCTGCAAAGCTGCGCCGTGAGGCCTGGTCAAAGGATGTGAGAAAACATGGTAGTTCAGCACATCTTCTTGCCTCCTCAACAGGTCGCTGTCCATACATTGGTCCCACCTCAGACCAGCCACCATGCTTGTTCGCCTCGGCCTACGGTTGATAGGGCCGCGTACTGTAACAGGCTCCGCTCGAAGGAAGAAGTCCGAACGAACCTAGCGCACCGCTTGTCACACTTATCCTGGGATACCATACGTACCCTGGCCACATCCAAGAACAAAGGCTGCTTGGCACTGGGAGCCACACTTCTGGACTTTGAAGCGGGAGGCCCTGGCCAGGACGAAGCTGCAAGCAACGATTAGAAAAGCAAGAAGCCATTGCACGATTCATTGACAAAGCAAGGGATCTTATCTTCCCACGGTCTTTTTGGCGTCATGCAGCGGCCCTCTATGTGCCAATGAACTCTGGATCGGCCTCTGTGAGCGAAGACGTAGCCAGCACGTGAGAACTGGCACATTGGGAGATCGTATCAGCTCAAAGCCACGTACCACCACAAGTAGGCCATAATTACACGGGGTGGGGTTAACTCTGCAGATGCTGGGCTTGGAAAGAAAGCACACCAGCCGAGCATACACACCCCAGAAAATGCTGATCCCCAAAGCCTACACCTCGACCACTCGTGAATTACCATGGAACTCCGCATAATCGTTCTTGACCGTTAGTTAGAAGGAAAGTAGCTCATTCTTGTACATGGGCTGAAATCTTGTGGATGCTGTGGAAACAGCAAGCAAACACAGAATAATATAGATACATATATATATATACCGTTATAATACATTGATCGGTGCGTTTAAAAAACACCCAGCGTGAGACAGCCCGAACCCCCTGTAGCAATTGGCGGCCAGGGATGGTCGTTCTTTTTCTGCCGCTGGCAACGATCCACTCCCCCGAGCCCTTGTTGCCAATCTGCACAGAGGCAGGTCCTGAACACGCAATCCAGTTGAAAACTAACGTCCTTGAAGGGATGTGAACAGTGTTCGGTCCTGTAAGTTGGTCGCATCCCATCCACAAGTGAAAGGACAGCCAGACAGCCAATGTCCTCTGACAAGCGTTGTGATGCAGCAATGGCTGCCAGCATTCTTCGGATTCTTCGGCCCTCCTTGCTCGGGGAACCATCTCCACGCTGTGGAAGAAGCTGTCAGCCGACTCCACCACTGGCACAGCAAAGAAAATTTGCATTTTGAGAAACTTTCGGCGGGGCAAGTCGGTGAGGTCACCCAACGCATTGCCATGTGTGACACTGTGAATCGCTATGATTTTGTCCATGTTTTCGTTAGTAATGCTGTCAATGTTTTCGTTAGTAATGCGGATAACATGCCTGCACCGTGACGCTCCCGCTCTGCAGCATCCTGCCACAGCATCTGATGCAACTGCTCACCCTGGCCAAAGACTCGCTACATCTCACTACGTTGCATCCGTATCGTCTAGTCCTTTGCGGCCAGTGGTGGCAAAACTCCCAGCTGTGCTGGCAGGGCTTTGGCAGCGTGCCAAGCAAAGGCCTTCAAGCTTAGAGTCTCGCACGGAACTCCAGGAGCATCCAAGCATCCAGGGCTCAGCTCGGCCTTGGCAAGGCCGCCTTGACAGGAGCGAAGCAGATCATGAAGGACGGCGGCCTTCCAGTCGCAAGCAGTCGCAGTCGTGATACAGGTGATCCCGGGAGCATCTCGAGCGTCCGCCTCCCCCAGCCCTGCGCTGCGGCCACTCAGCATGGTGCGCGGGCGCCACGAAGCCAGCCTGAACAGGAAAAAGGTCTGTGTATGTGCGTGAATGTGCGTCAGCAGGTTCACGGTGCAAGCAGAACAAGCATCCCCGTGTCCTCCACATTAGTTTCGAGAAGTTCTGGAAAGCGAGCGGCTGTTGGGCTCCGAAACCTGAATCTTATCTAACGTTCCGGCCATGAGCAAACTTCTTTCATCTTCAGACTGTGTCCAAGCCCAAGTCTTGGCAAGCAGGTATAGCAAATTATTTCAGCAAAGTCCCAGGTTCTGTATCAGACAAGACACATGCCTCTGCCGCTTCGACCACCTGCGCAGGAAAGCAGTTTTCAGCGGCAAGATCCTGCAAGCACAGCCGGCGAGCCTCCAAGGCACCATTTCCTTCAGCATTCAGAAGGTCCATTGCTGCCTTGGAGATCCACTTAGCTGAATGGCTTTGAGGGTCCTGAATCCAAGCCTGCCAGCGGAGGGCGCGGCGCATGGCCTAAGATGGAAGCCAAACCGAGTGTATTGTAGCAGGCAATTCTGAACGCTGTGAATTCTTAAACAGCCCCGTGGCCAGAAGCAGCGAGCCGCCGATCACAGCATCAGCTCTGACAGAGTCCAAGACCATTTCCTTGGTTCGTGTTGTGCTACTTGCAGCATGTTGTGTTGACCATGTATCTTCAGCCCACATGTGGTCCCCGAACCATTTGCCCCTCTACTGCGCTTTGCGTCGCGTCTCAGCGCCAGCGCGGTTTGCCAAGCACTGTTAGCTCCTGTGGCTGCAAGCACCGAGGCGAAAGTGAATTCGTCCGGGCGCAGACCTTGCATGTGCAGCACAGGGACGGGTATCTTTGACGCAGAAGAATCTTTTCTGCAAAGCCGCCTGAATGCCGAATGTTGCATAGTAGCACAAGTGCGAGCTGCCAGTCTCAGGGCACACATGGGCACACGATACCAAAGGACTCCTGTGCTCGCATTGCGCCTACGCAAGCTCGAAGAGATGCGTTGAACGCGGCCAAATCTGGAAGATCCTGCAATTGTGCAGGAACTGCTGTCACCTTGTCGGACTATGCCATTCAACCCGATTTCTCCCCTGGTCCTGGCATCTTAGCAGCACCATGGCCTTTTCCCACTGCTTGGCTTCCGCCAAGGCACTCAGCACTGCCTGCATTGACGAATTCCCCAGGCTCTGTCTCTCTGATAGCTTGTCAGCCTGCAAGAGGCCGGCGTCCCAGGGGAGCTGCCGCGCCTGGGCCTCCCGCATCTGAGCACAAAGCTCCGAAATGTCCAGAAGACTTGCCGGACACCTCCTCGAAGAGGGCCAGGCTGCGCTGCCACTGCCGTTGCCTACGAAAACCACAGTTTGGCCCTACAGCCTTCAAAGAGATTTGTCTGCAAAGTGCTTGCCTGCCGCAGGCGGCCGCTGCTGCCGCTAAGGCTGGGCTGTCTGCAGCGTGAAGGAGTTGCAACGACCACCTTGCTGCAATTGGTGTTCATCTTTGCATTGGCGTCTCGGTTTTCAGCTTAAGGGGCTGAATGCTACCGAAGTTCAAACATTAGCATTTCAGCCTACTAGCTGCTTTGCGCAGCTCTCACTTTTCTTGCAACAGCAGCAGATCTCCCTCAGCAGTTTGTCAGAACCGGGGCTGCAGCTAGAATCCTTCTCCCTAGCAACACTTGTGCGGAAATCTGCCATTGCTTGCAAAGGGGCTTCAAATGTGCGGGTAAAGCACGACTTAATACACAGACGCCCCTTGGCTACAGAGCGGCATGGTTCACTTCTGCACACCGCGGGGGCGCTCCTCCCACTGGAAGGCATAAATCGAAACGCAACTAACAGTGTTAATCCTTGTATGCGCAGGAGTGGCAATAGCTTAGTAGTGTGGAGCGCAAGCAAACAAATTCATCAGCATGCTCATTGGCGCTGCGCACATAGATGGCTATTAGCCAGGCTATCAGCCTGGCATTCTGGCTTGTCAGTCTCGCGAGCCCCCTTTCGGGTTCTCAGCCGTGGGTCCTCAGAGTAGCCAAGAACCAATGCCCAAACAGCAGCCAAGTGCAACCTTTCAATCATTTCGGAAAGAACTCGGCCGATTTGGTCAGGTACCCTTCGGATGAAGTGATTTTGACCTGCAATCCTCTCGATGAACAAGCAATTGTCAAGCTCCAGCTCCTGAAACCTTTTGCAACAGTGTTCCAACTTCTCAGCCACCAGCAGCGGATCCCTCCGCTGTCTGCACATCCGAGAGGCCGAGCAAAGCCTCGCCATTGCGTCCTTTAATTTGCGCACATCCTTCTGGTCCTCTGACGCTCTCAGCAACTTGTAGACGACCTCTGCGGGGGGCGTAACAAAAAGAATTGATGTGCCTCTTATCCCCAGTTAATGCACGTGCAGTTACAATCCCCATACAGAACTGCAGAAATCAGTAGAGCAGGGCAAAACCTTCCTCTGACAATGCCATGGAAAGGACTGAGAAGTTGAGCTTCTTGACAATCTCCAAGAGGTTCGCTTGCATGGTTTCCCATGGAACACTAGCCTCGCCAGCAGGTAGCGGGGGCAGCGGGCTGAGCTTCATCTCCTCAGGAATCTGAAATAGGGCTGATCTCGTGAGGTCCTTCTTTTCCGGAGACCGTGTCAGCATGATTCCATATGTACAAAACTAAATCTGCATCACAATTGAAATGGCTGCAGAGCGGGCCCCACCATGCCGGCTTTCAGGTTGCAGCTATTTGCAAGAGCAATTAGTCACGACACTTGCAGAAATTTGGGACTCAGCTCTCCCGTCCCTGACCCAAGCAACAGCATGTGCTGCTGTGACACTCCCATCGAGAAGATGCCACGGCAGCGCCCAGCAATGCCTGCACAGCCAGAACTTGAGACAGAACCTCAACGAGCCAAAGAGGCTTCAATCTCTCCTGCACACTGGACGCGGGAATTGCATCGGTGCAGCGGCCATACCGGAGCGTTGAAAGCAGCACCTGGGCCTCACCAGCACATTCCCATTACCACGCAGCTGGAAGCTGGATAAAGACATTGCACAGCTACTGGTCAATGCCTGCAAAAGCTGCTCTGCCCGCGCAACAGCAGCCAGGGTTGCATTGAAACCTGACAGATACATGTACATGTATATGTGGTCACGTGCTTCTTGGGAACCCCCCGCCCACAGGTGGAGCTTGGGTGGGATTCATAGGAAGATATGAGGTCCTTGTAGGGGTTGTCCTGCGTTTGCCGGCGGAAGAATTGAGGAAATGTGTAAGACATCTGTAAGCTTAGGGACCATAAAAGCACTATGGGGGGTGGGGGAAGACCCCGGACTGTGAATAACTATATATAGATATATGCACATGTATACACATGTGTATGTGTATATATATATAGGTTGGAGTGAACACGACATCACACTCGAGCTTGAGCACACTGCTTCTGCAGCCGGCAGAGATCTGAGGCTGTGTAGGCTTAGTGTGGGCTGTGTGTGTATCTTCATCTCAGGAGTGGCAAATGTTGTTTGTCCGCGTCCTCTGGGTCTCGCCCCAATTTATGGAAGTCCAGTCAACCGGCGCCAGAGGGTGAGGCCTGGAGGGTTTTCCGTTCTGCCAGCGTCCCGCTGGGCAGGCCTCGTGCGAATTCCAGCATTGGTGTTTTTGAAACCCCTGATTTCTTTCCAAGAATGTCTGCGGCTTTCTGCACCCAGGCTTGAACAATTCATGATGGAGTGACAAATCGATCTCTTGCATCGATCAGGGTCCCTTCAGGCTCTTGAATTTCTTCCTCTTGTTGATGAGCCCCTGGCATTCTTGCCGCGTTTGGAATTCAAGTCAGCTTCGATATCGCTTGGGCGCTCATCAGGGAAGCAATGCCAACTGCATCACCGTCAGACATACGCAACGAAACGATCTACTCTGCCGAATAAGAAGATGACTCACTAACTGCAATCATACGCCTTGGCTGTCGTGATGACATTTGTGCGCAGGCTCCCACCCGTGCGCACACCGAAGTCTCTAACAGAATAGACCACTGTCGAGTCGGTTGTAAGTCCAGCTACCTGCAGCACGATGTCTATGACAGACTCCAACTCTCTGCACATCGCTGCAAGAAGCCGCTACATTGCACTAGCTACATGGTGTTTTTCTCCTGGCCACCTTTCAAACGAGAAGCTTCGTGTCGTTGGCTGCAGGTGGTACTGGCGTACCTGCCCGGGTTCAGCTACGGACTGTGGTAAAATTCTACAGTACGGGTCGTGGCAGCTCTGCTCACAAGAACAGCAAAGACAGGCACTTCTCACAAATCTAGACGGCAGGGCAGGCAATGTCTTCGGAGGGCGGCTGCCCTGCCTGTCCCAGCAAAGCCAGCGCTGCGCGCCAAGCCCGCGCGCGCCCACAGGCCGCAAGGACCAGCGAGGCACCTTCGGCTGGCTTCGCATGTCGAGTCTTGGCCCGAAGACATCGCAAGCCCAGAGCCTTCGACACTGTCTCCAGCTGTCGAGCTCCGGGCGGTGGCCCAGAGTGCCAGGGCTGCCTGGGAGCGCTTCAAGTTGCACATCACCCCGACTGGCGCCAAAGCTTCCAGATCAAAGCAGACAAGCAACCCCCCAGCTCAATTGTCTGGCCAGGTCCTGGAGTTTGCAAAGGGCCTGAGCTGGGCAATGCTGGACATCCGCATCATGGAAGAAGCTAGTCAGCTTTCTTTCTGTGTATGGAAAAGAAACAAGCGCAAAAATTCAGCGTCTACTTGCTGCCGGTGACTTACAAGATTACAAGAAGCAACAAGATCCGAGGATCCATTGAAATCTGGGTTGAACATGGTCCTCTGCAGATCAGCCAGAAGCGGCTTCTACCGCGAGAGCATCAGACGCGACAGAGGCTGCCGTGATTGCAGAGTAGACTCTCTGACCAACTCTGACCCAGACTACAAGAATCCATTAGGCTGGTACCCGATCGTGAGAAACACCTTAAGAGAGCATGCTTTGACATACCTGCAAGTCCATGGCCGGACACTCTGAGCCCGCGCTGCCCAGACACTGATGCATATGCTGCTGTTTTCACCACGCGGGCACGCTTCTGCATGACTTTCACGAACCTTCTCTTTATTCCGGAATCTCTAGCAGGCATGGGCTCCAGGCATTCCGGCTGTTAGTCAGCTCGCAGGTTGCTTTCCATTGATCCGGCGTCGCTTCTTTACCGACGCATGCCTGTCCCATGCACTGACCTTGAGCTGCTCCTTGACGCTGCTGCTGTCACCTCCATTTTCTGGATCTCCCCATGTGATGACTGCACCATTCTCAAGAAGGGCGGCAAACGCAAATCCATTTTCTTGAATGTGCTGTACCGCTTTCAACTCTTCTTGCACGCAAGCGCAGTCACCACCGTACTTGCTGGTTCCCCAGGCCACCACAGACCCATTGCCCAGGAGTGCAGCGAAGGCTTCGGTGGAGGCTTGAATGTGTTGCACATCACGGAGCCTGTCTTGGACGGACCTGCTGTCCGCGCCATGCCGCACGCTGCCCCACGTAACTACAGATCCATCACCCAAAATTGCGGCAAAGGCAGAATCATTGCTTTGAATCCTCTGCACATTACGTAACTGGGATTGGATGCCACTGCTGTCTCCGCCGCAGTTTCTGCAGCCCCAAGTGACAACAGAACCGTCCATCAAAATGGCCGCGAAGGCGGCAGCAGAGCTGCGAATGCTCTTGACGCTCTTCAGTCGGCTTTGCACACTTTCGCTGTCGCCACCTGCGCCGCCTGCACCCCATGTGACTACTGACCCGTCGCCCAACAACGCAGCGAAAGCGGAGTCCGTTGATGCAATAGCCTTCACAGACTTCAGCCTGGGCTGGACAGCTGTACTGTCGCCACCATCCGCAACATTGCCCCATGTAACTACGGACTCATCCATGCAGATTGCAGCAAATGCGTAACCACTTGCAACAATGCCTTTCACATTTCGCAGTTGCCCTTGTACCAGATCGCTGTCCCCTCCACAGTCTGGGGCACCCCAGGAAACCACAGATCCATCCGCCAAGAGGGCCGCAAATGCAGCCGTGGAGGCTTGAATCTGTCGAACGTTCTTCAGTCTGTTCTGAACTCTGCTACAGTTTCCTCCAACATCTTCTGCACCCCAACACACTACGGATCCGTCCAGGCGGAGCGCAGAAAAAGCTGCACAGGAACTCTGCAGGGCCTGCACATCAATCAACTGGTCCCGAACTTTGAGGCTGTCGCCACCAAAGTCGCAGCCACCCCAGGTCACCACCGATCCATCCGAGCGAATTGCGGCAAAGGCACCAGCGGTGCTTCGGATTTCCTGCACATTCCGCAATTGATCCTGCACCTTGCTGGAGTCGCCACCTCCATCTTTATGGCCCCAGGTCACCACTGAGCCATTCGCACGACGAAGGGCAAAGGCTGGAGCAGTGGAGGCGATCCCAGGTGGCCGCGCGACGGCACTTAACCAGTCTCCGTCTTGAAGCCCTGCTTCTTGTATGGTGCTGGCGCATGACAACGCCTCACCTGCAGCATTGATCAGGTGGCGGATGCTGGTGCCGAACACAGCCTCTGCGTGTGACTGTACTTCCTTGATAGTCGTGTTGGCGCCAGCATGGATCACAGCGCCACTCCCACTTAACAGAATCACGTGTAGGCATGCGGACATGAAGGAAGCAGGCTGGAACCAACGTTTAGTGGTAGCCAGGAGCCTCTGAGCCTTTGTCGGGAACTCGCAGCTTAGTCAAGTCGTGTGATTCTTGTAGTCTGCAGTTTGCATCGTGAAGTTTTGTGCGACTGCCCCACTCTTACCTGTGAAGCCACAGAACTTATCTTGTCCGCCTAGGCCATACCGATGATGTTGCTTCTGTGTTTTGATATTCAACACATGAAGTAATGGATGTGAACGGCCGCGTGAAGGCAAGGCCTGCAAGGTAGACAACGCCACACCTACGCCGTGCTGCGCTTCGCCGCGTGCCTTGCCCCAGGCGTGCGAGGACTAGAGGCCGCCTCCTCCGACTTGGAAAGGGCAATTTCTAGCTGATTTGATGCTTATCATCTTCCATGGACTGCGCAACGCTGTCCTCGGCCGGAATTGCTGTTGTCACAGGAGAGCAGGGACCCACAACAGGCCTGGCAGACAGGGCGTGGCTGCTAGAGATTAAGCGCCTATACCACCACGATTCTGCCTGCCAGGCAGCGGCGGCGCTGCTGGCAGCGTCACGGATACCGGCCGTGACAAGTCCTGAGGTCACAACTCGGCTTATCAAGAAACGCAGCACATGGGTCACGGAGTCATGCTGGCCACCCAGCGGCCAAAGAGAGCAGGTCGCGCTTCCGTCCACATTTGCGGCAGAACAAGGAGTCCACCCTGCAAAAGCGCCACTCACTCAGGCTTGCTTTGAAGCTTTTGCACACGTGGCGGCTGGGATCCAGGCATGTAAACATTGCCACACACAGGACAGCGGGCTGCCTCTGAATGGCAGATCGTAAAGAAGGCATTCCTGTATCCCTTCAAGCACAAGAAATGAGCATAGCTCTAACCTAGTCGTCGTCTTTGTTTTGCTGACCGGGGCTCACGCACGAACAACGGACGGTGGAGGAGAGGAAGCCTGGCAAAGGCCACCTACTTTCCAGGAAAAAGCCGCTTCAAAGCTGATGTGGTCACATTGGTCACCTCAACCACTTGGTACGCAGGTCGAAGCGCCTCGGCGACAGGGATTGGCTTCGCCTGTCTAAATCCCCTTTTTTGAAGCTCTTCAAGGTTGCCGTCACGCTCTGGCCATGCAAGCTGACTTCTCTACAGTCTGCCAGCCCCCTGAGGCCTTGCTAGATATGATAGGGAGACGCCTTCAGTCGTGGCCATCTCTTTGCGGTCCTTTTTGTGGCTTGGAAAGCTTGCGCTTTTTGTCAAAGCGTGTGGGTGTCTGGGATGGTGATGCTGTCAAGTTTTGAGACAAATTGGTTCTGTCGCTGGCAATGCGCGGGCACCACTTCACCTGCAGAGGGCTTCGAGTCAATGCCCTCTACTGAGGCTGGGAATATCCACGCTATCTTCGATGGCTACTGCAGACTTGGCCAACAATTTCGGCAGCTTCTGAATCGTGTATTTTGCATCCTGGATTGCAGAAAAGGGGCGTTTGAGCATCACATTGCGTGATCTGGCTCTCTCGACACCGGCACAGGCAATGGGAATCTTCCGGAATCTTCATCCGCTTCAAGCACAATTTCTACCAAAAGTCCGCGCGATGTACGGCAACCTTTTTGCAACTTGGGCTGCCTTTGCAAGCACTGCTACCTACGGTTGCCTTTGCAAGCACTACTACCTACGGTGTCCTGTTTGGAGGCACTTGGAGTCACACCCCTTAAGAGCGACGTGTGCAGATGATGCCTTGTGAAGATTAGCTCTTGGCATTCTATGGATCCTACACCCTAAAGTGAAACATCGTGAACCTTGTCGTTCAAGTCCAGTGAGGGCAAGCACTCACAGGAATCATGTCTTGTGACATATTCCAAGTTGGCCACTGACCTCTGCTGCCATACCTCGAGGTGAAGACCGTCTGACTCATGCCACGACCATGGCAGGCTTCAGAACGGCTTCCAAGGCACTGATTGTAGTACTGCGGATGTGGCGGGTGCTGCACATGGTAGCCAAGATTCATCCGCTGCCAGTCCTTGGCTGCACTGCGTCTTTCACTCAAAACCCTACACCGCAGCTCAGCACATCCCAGCCTGACATGGCGAGGGCATCTGCCAAAGGCACGGCAGGGCATCTGATGGGCCCCGACTCGGCACGGGCTCCTTCGCAGCGTTTGGAATGGCGGACATTGGCGGACTGGCCGAGCCTGTTCTGATTGTCATCTGAGCACATCTAGCGCCACAGAATGAGTCAGCAAAAACGCATGAATTCCAAAATCAGACCTCTTGCCGCAGCGCTATGGCAGAAGTTGACTATACTGCTCAAAGGCTGGACGACGTATGCAGTCCTCATCCCAGGCCCACTCTTCGCGTGGTGATTCTGTTCCTCTGCCATGATAACTCAGGTGTGCTGGTGAACAAGAGCATGATCATGCTGTTAGCAGGGTTGACTATCACAAACAAGCCAGACCTCCTGCGCTCATGGCGGCTGCCAGCAGTTCTTGGACATCCTGCCACTGAGAGCGTGAGTCAAGCCTTTAACGGAAGGCAAAGTTAATTTGAGAGTTCTTGCCTTGCCTTCGTTTGCTTTGCATTGTCGCTCCTGTATCCATTACTTGGGGAAAGGTCTACCAGAAACGCAATTCCCGTAGTTTTCCACAGTTGTGCGTCATCTCCATTCCGCCCTATGCACGGCTGGAACATGAGCCATGACATTCCATGTCTTTCCATAAGCTATATATGCGCATCCTGCTGTTAGGACGAACCGGGCAACAATCAGATGGGCGCTCATAATTCCGAAATCTTAAAGTCTTAGGTAGCAGCAAGATCCCGGCAAAAGCATCAGAACAACATATGACTACATACACCTTAAGTCTTCAACACGAGAACCTATAGAAACAACAAGAAAACTGCAGCAACAGCAACGACAAAGGCAAAATCCAAACACATGCAAGCTAGCAGTAGCAGTACTCGTGAACCTTAATTATAGTGGACGCAGTAACAACCGTGACAACATCCGGTCATGGAATCGATGTCACGCCGCTTCTTTGGGGTTTTAGCTTGGCCTTTGCATAGGGAGGGATTTGTGGGAGACTGCTTCCCTCCGCTTTCTTTGTCAGAATCTAGTGGCCAAGCCCGACCCGACCCAGAAAAAACAAGACACGCACGTTTCAGAGCGCCGGCCTTCCACCAGCTTTGCAACTACTTGCCCTGCAGCAATTCCCACCGTCAAAAACATAAGTAACAAGGTTTCGCCGGATTTAGTCCTGCTTGGTAGCATGGTCGATGGGCTGCCGGTTTCGTCTGTCGCGAAGCTGGCAGTCAGCCCTCGCCTGGCACCCCGAAACGGACGACTTGGGATCAGCTTTCCGAAGCCTGGCCTCAAGGAGAAGCTCACAGTGCTGACGAATGCCCTGAGCCGCTGCATGCATCAGCGGCGTCTCCTTCGCAAAGAAGCATTTGCCCGCCCCAGCAAGACAGGGAAAAAATGCTGCCCTTTGGCAGAAATCAACGGGTAATGAGAACCAGGTGTCCTGTGTGATTGGAAGAGCATCAACCATAGCATCAGCGCACAAGAGCAGCTTGATGCACTCTGTTCCTCAAGGCAGCTCTGCAAAAGCTAAGCCCTCTCAGCCCACCTTAGTAGCCTCAAAACATGTCTCGTAATCATACTGTCTGCCATGCAACGCTCCGCAGTGCGGCCAGCCCCTTTCGCAGCCAGCAGTAGTGGCGTTGCGCCACTGCTGTCGCGCTCCTGCAAAATGCAGCCGTTCTCATACACATTTTCTCTGAAAACCCAGCAACTCGCCACCTCCACATCAGCGCCTTCGTTCAGCCAGGCACGCACCATGACAGGCACGGCCAACTCAGCAGCACCTGCGAAGAGGTTCAGAGTCCACTCTCAATCAGTACCACCACATCTTTACAAAGCTTTGCCTGAAAGATTCCGCACAGAGTCCTAGCTTCCAAAACCAGCTGAGTCGGACGAAAGAGTCGAGGAAAAAGAACTGGGAATCGGATGAGAGGACCGCGCGAGTCAGACGAAAGAGGCGTCAGTTGGACAAAAGGCGGGCTGGACGAACAAGAGCACGTGAGTAGGTTTGAAGAACATGGGAGCATGGGCGACAGAAGATTGTTCTAGTAGGGATGTATCTTAAGATTCACTTAGTCGCTTTGAAAGGAAGAAGATCAGGCGACAATAGATAGTTGAAGTCAAAATAGATGCTAAGCCACTCCTCTTCAACTTCCTTGGCCTGCAATGGAAGGAACACACTGACGTAGGAAAATTCTATTAGACACAAAAGGGAAAAAACACCCCTGATGTGCCTTAATGCGGGAAGACGGTGCCAACGAGCAATTCAAGTGGAGAAACTCACCAGTCTGATGCTTTGCTTTCATCTGCGACTTGTTCGTATTCGTTTGATTCGTCTGACTCGCGCTGTCTTTCGTCTGACTCAGGAATCGTCCAAGCAGCAGGTATATGTGCCAAAATAGCGGTTCAGAAGGAAACCAATTCCAGCTTCCAGGTGCTACACTTGTGGGGAAAGTTGCAGTAGGGAAACAGGAGTAGAGCTGCTAAAGACTCTGCCAGTTTCGTGCTTTGACAACTGGATGCTGTGCTGGACGCGCCGACTGCTACAGGTTGCGGTCCAAAAGAGGTTAATGGGAAAGCAACACTTCCCTAACGTGGGTCCGGCGTTCGCTCCGGCCTGCCGAGCCAATTGTGGCTCAGAAGCGGGTGTAATCTTCCATGCGGGAATATGCGGGACTGTACTTGCAGCGTTCTCCTGAACCTCCTTTGTTCACAAATTCATATAAGTTCACAAGCAGGCTGGATAGCTAGGCCACCAGGCAGATTTCTCGAGGTCATGCTTCATGCTTGCTTGCCCAAGCACGATGAAGAGAATGTCGGCCACCAGCGTCCAGCAAGAGTTGAACACACTCCTTGCAATAGCCAGTTCACATTTTCGTTCAGGAATCCATTGTCCAGTGCGTCAAACTCAGCTCCTGTTGGTTGCGGCTGACGGCCACGTCAAGAGGAGTTCCACCGTGCCTCAGCAGTCACCACGTGACCAACCGCGCCCAGCCCTGTACTATTGAGGCATCTTGGCCGAGCTGCTTCACAGGACGCGCATTAGGATTGGCCCAAGGCTGAGTACGCAGTCGCCCCGAGGCTTCGAAGAGAAGAAGCTGCAGCGCCTCCAGGTTGCCTGAGACTTCCAAGATGCCTGTAACAGCTGGAAGCAAAAGCGCCTCGAGCTGCGGAGTCGTGGAGGAGCTGGTCCTTGGACAGGCCAGCCAGGGCAGGAATGACCAAAGCTGGTAAAGCTGGGTAAGGTGTTGTGCAATGCCTCCAGGTCTCAGCACCAGCACAGGTCAGCACAGCCCCACTCTTCCGCAGCAGCTCCTGGGTAGAGAGATGGGCCGGGGGACTGCCACTCACCATAATTTCCTACACGTTGCAGGCCCAGCGTCTGCAGCGCCACGGCATCCTTCAGCCAAGAATTGGAAAGCACGCGGCAGGGCAAGCACCGTGGCACTCTCCAAAATCCCTTTTGCCTTTCTTCACCGCCACGGTCAGCGGCTTCCCTTCTGGCGTGGCCGTGTTCACGGCCTCTGGCCGTGCCCGGATGGCTGCCCAGAGCCGGTCCAAGCTGAGAAGTCGCCCGTCTTCCTTGGCTGAACAGAACGGCTCAACGAGGCTTTACATGACTGAACGGTTTGCATCGCATCGTGCATGGCCTCTGGGCTGCTGAGTTTTGCGTGCAAGGCACTGGGTGTATGCGTAGCTGTGCCATCAGATGGCCTCACAGAACACACAGCGCAACCCCTGCAGAGGTGCAAATCACCTCAATCCCACCAAAGGCTTCCAAGATACATCGACCCAAATCTGGCCACCATTCCTTCAGGTACGTTGTAAACACGGCATCTTGGTGCAAAGAGCTGTCTGCAACTAAAAAGTAGAGACAGTCTTTCTGTCCTCCTGAGGCAGATCCCAAGGGAGTCCGGCGCGGCGGGCCAGCAGCCGGGCCTTCAAGCAGCCTTGGCTCTGAGAAGCAAAAGCCAACACCCTCCTTAGAACTCTGGGATTTCTCGAGACAAGCTGCAAGCCGGCCCAGCAAACTGCCAAACTCGAAGTAGGCAGTGCGCAGGGCACCTGAGTTGTGGCTTCTTGGCTTCCTTCTATGGCACCTTGCAAAAAGCACCGCAGCTTTATGGTGCCGCTATGTCAGTTGTTCATGGTTCTCCAATCCGAGAGGCCTGCCCCAATCAAAGTAGCTTAGCTGGTCTTATCCGAATACATGAGTGTAGCCTTGAGTCTACAGACTGCTTTCGAGGCACAGGAACGCTGCCTGCTGCAGATCTTGCCACGACGCCATATTGCAGGCAGCACAGAAGGCAATCTCATGAAAACTGTGATGCTTCAGAAAGCGCCCCTGGGCTGGAGTTGGCCAGCAAACGACAATGTCTTTTCAGGTTGTCATGCTTCAGTCAGCAGCTTGTCCGACTGATCACGTGAGCTTTGCAGCTGTCACTTTTTTTTCTGGAAATGGTGGGAAGATGGCAACATCACACATCTGAGCACAAAAGATGACGGCACTCACTGGCCTGGAATCAGCAAGGGGGTGGGGAGTGGCTGGGGTTCTTGTGGTGGCTTGGGGTCTGGCCGGCGAAGATCTGCATGGAGATGTTCGAGGTGACATCTTCTCTCTGCGGATGTGGTGCATCCATCTGCCGAGATGTCTTCAAACATCCAGAACCACAGGTTGCCACATCAACTCCGCCTGTGGAAAGCCTCCAGCGCCAGGATTCTGGTTCTCCTATCCTTCGCGCGCGGTTGCACTGCCGTTGGCTCTCAGGCTTGACTGATCTTGCCGATGCCACTCTCACTGATTCGCTCCCAACGCTCCATATGCTGCTTTCCCAAAATAGGGGGAAACCAATGTGGACCCGAAAATATTATAATCCTCATTACAGGGACCCCCAGAAAGGTGCCAAAATTTCAGGAAATCGCCATATCTTGCCACGTTCTAGCTGCTGGCTATCCCTATCCTCAATGGCCGAGACCACGGAGACGACACGTCCTGGCCCGGCTGGCGACACACCTGAAAAGCATCCAAACTTCTCTCTTTCTTGCTTCCTCGCGGGCTGCCGGCTCAGCTGTGTAGATCGCTCTGCCACGCGTGCTGTGGCAAAACGCCGCCACCTGAAGTATGACAAGGACTGGCAAGGCTACGACGCTCACAATCGGCTCATACGGTTGCCGGCCTGCGGAAGAAGTCAGACCTGACAGCTTCGTCTATCTAAAGTAAGGATTTGCAGGGTCAGGAGCCGGCAGAAGGAGATTCCGCCAAGCACCAGCCTCGGTGATAGCCATGCTGTCTCAGGCTGAGAAATGAGCAGGTGAGAGGTGGCTTAGAGTCAGGCATGCTCGGCAGCCTGAATGCAACAGATTCCTTCACCCTGCGCAAGCCCCTGCTAGCTACTGCTGAGCCTCTCGGTCTGCTATGGCTCGGCGCAGCTGTTGTGAGCTTTCGTTGACAAGGCGAAACCTCAAAGATTCTGCATTCATGCCACGTCAGCTCAAATCATATCTGCCGATGATCTCGTACGTGTGCCCTTTCCTGGACATGGGCTTGGGGCCTCCATGTCATGAACGTTGCAAAGAGCAACAATCGCATCTTCAACGTCCAGAATTTTCCCGCCTTCAGCTCAACAGGTCACAGATGGTCCCAGGAAGTTTGAAGCGACACATAGCGGCACGCTGCGGCACGTCACCGCTCGACCGCTCGACGCTTGGCCGCGGGCCAGGCGAGAGCCGCAATTCGAGCCACGATCCGCTCGCCGCTGCAGCTCCGAGCCTGAGGCCGCAGGCGAGGCCGCATCAGGCCACAGGTGTTTCTTGCGAAAACTCACGTACACCTCTGGTCACACGTACACGACGTACACCTCCTGAAAACCTGAGCTCCTGGACTCCAAATTCGTCGCTGCTTGTCTAATTGAGCTCCACGTGCTTCCTTCAAATCAAATGTCAAGGTCAGCGACGCTGGTGCTGGGACTGGAAAGCATGATCTTTCCCAACTTCGGGCTGCAGAAGCACCGCGAGACATCATCTGTAAGATCTGTAGGCTGACGTGGCTCCGACGGTGATTGCAATCTGCAATGCTTTAAAGGCATGGCCAAGTAGAAGGCGCTTCGTGCATGTCAATGCCCAGATTGCCCCCACAGGTTCAATTCAATAAAGTGCAAGAGGACACCGCAAGTAACGAACCGGGTCGAGCAGCAAAGTTTTTCGTGATGCTGGTTGCGCCATTTCGAGTAGTCAGAGCGTTGATGTGACGCTGCGCTGCTACAAGTCGCTCTCAGCCCTTCACTCCTGCAAAGCAATGCCTGAGAGCAACGCGCGCAGCACGTGGGAAGATTCTTCATGCACGCAGGGCTTGGACTCATTTCGACACGTGTGTACTCCTCAGGCAATGCAATATTGGCTGTGTGGCCAAGTGGCGCGTGGTAGGTCTTGGCAGCCAATGTCTTATTGACCGACCCCCAGATGTCGTAGCCACACTTGAAATCCGGCACGTCATCCAACACCTGTGACAAGACTTGTAACACGTTGGTCCGGTCTGCAAGTATCCAAAAATGATTTGCCAGCTGAGACTTGCAGAATTTTGCGCAGAAGCTGGAAAACAACTACGGGTATCTTTTTCCTCCCGGCAAGAAAGGAACGAGAGGAGCAACTCAGGACCCCCGGAAATACACATGTGCGAGCTACAAATATCTGGCAGGATGTGCTATCCCAATTATGGTTTCGACCCTTTACTAGGTTGTAGGTGAACATGCGAGCAGGCGGTATGTTGACGAGACTCCACAATCGAATGAGGGCCGGCTGGACCCGATCCATTTTTTGCAGGCGTACGCCAACATTCAGCGCCGACTGACAGTAGCAGACATTCTTGTAAATTCTTCTGCTGTTGAAAGAATCGCACGCGGTAAGCCCTAGGATTCACCTTAGGGTGACGCATCAAATATTGATAAGAATCAAGAAAATTGACCGACAAAGTCAAGAAAAAAATCAAGACTTGCGCACAGCATCAAAATTATTTTGATAAGCATCATTAAAAAAAAAAAAAAGAGGGCCGTAATACTACAAATTAGCAAGATTAAGGCGGACTGTAGTAGTTGCATTACGAATACGGATGGTGGCAATAGTAGCAATACCGATAAGAGCTGCAGTAGCAATAACAACATTGAAAGCCAGAAGCAGAAACGGTCGTAATACGAATAAAAGACAGTCTTCATTTATAACACAGCAAGTCAGCAGCGTGGGGCGAGCTGTAGCACAACTAGCAGTGACTCAGGTGGGTTACCAGAGCCTCGCGGGGGCTACACTACATGTATGCTCACAAGCTGTCGCGCGGCAACA